TTTTCTTTGTTCTTTTTTCTCTCTTTTTTTTTTTCAAAAGCTGTTTCTTTGTTTTGCTCTTACTCTTGGCATTTTTCTCTCTCTGAGCCTTTCTTTCCTCTTTCCTTTGGTCTTACACTCGGCTTTTTTTACTTAGGTTTTAATTTTTTCTTTCCTTTTCCTTTTTTTTTCTACCCTTTTTTTTTATTTTGCTCTTACTCTTGGCTTTTTTTTTTTCTTCCCTTTATTGTAAAATAAAAGAATAAAAAAGAAACAAAGAAAAGTCGAGAGAAGAAAGGGAGGGGTAAAAAAAAAGGCTTTGAAGGCATCCACTGTGACAAGACGTTCCATTTCTGTTGACCCGGACGTGCCCCCAACAGTCTCAACTCGGCTTGTTGACGTTAATCAGTGCTGGGCTGATACTCTAATTCTGAAAGTTTTATGCCCTGGTGCGGGCACTCTCGTACAACGTTCTGTATGTGATCCCGAAGGTCGTCTGTTGTAGAGACTAGCCAGGACGGTCAGTACGTATCTCACATGGGAATTGGGAACCTTACCCATCACTAGTGTCCGACCTTGCTCATCCCAAGTGTTGGGCAGTCTCTCAACCTGGTCGCCGGATGCCTCGAGAGAAATGATACTTTGGTAATCAGGCACTTCCTGATAAATATAAACTCGCTTATGTCTGCCAAATGGTAATCCATTCTGCTCAATACCGTCGCTGACGTAAATCGAGATATGCAGTATCTAAAGTGACAGTGTAAGCCATAGGCAGAATTTCCGAACATCAATCGAATACTAACATAGCCGTCATCCATGATATCATCCTTCAGGAGGTTATTGATTAGAGACAATGCGGGGGTCATCTGGTCAACAGATTCTACCTGCCATACCAAATGTAGCCGGCGAACCTGGGAGGTGCAGGTGTTGTAACTGTGGATCATTTTCTTTAGGCATGGAATGGCTGCGGCGATCCCAGGTCCGCTGGCCAACACTAGAATGCTCTCATAGTCACTAGCTTCCTCACTCACTCCATGAGGACCAGTAAACAAAGCCAGGAAAGAGACCGAGCTCCCCGCAGCAGCAGGGGCATAGCGAAGAAGATCCGCAGTGAAACCACTGCGTGGCTTCACTAGAAGCTCCACGGTATCTTGCTTACCTTTGGACCACGATGTAACCGTGAGAGGGTGAGTCTGCATCCACGAAAATAGACTGACTGAGGGCATCCAGAGGTTAATATACTGTCCAGCTTCTACTTTCATTGGTCGAGGCAGCAAAACGCGAATGTGGACAGCGTTGACCACAGGGCCTTCTTTAGATTCGCTTGCGCTGAATGACACGATAGCCCTGGGAGTACCACGGCCTGCGAAAAGACCGTTATGATATAGGAGGGTTATAAGCTCTAAGAGTAAAGTCAACGCAAAAGTCCCCAGCGCAATTAAGAGATATATCTTTGAAGAGGTGCTCTGTGATGGAAGATGCTGCCAAGATCCGTAGACGAAGAGTCCCGCCAAAATTTGATGTCCTCGAAGAAAGATCTCGTAGGACCAGTGACGACACCAGGGAATCGAATGCAGGCCAAGGGCACCCAGGGAGATCGCAGCCTATCAAAGGTTAGTTATAGCGAAGTGGCTAGTGTTAATAGGTATACAATCATAGCATAAAGATTTTGCTGTTCGCTGAGTGGAAATGTAAAGCCCTGGCCCTGAACTACTGTAACAATGTGAAATGATAGCAGGGCAACAGCCATCCAGCCAGCAGCACGATGGATCTTTCGACAGGAGTTCCATTTGATACCAAGGAGATCCGCCAGGTAGGCTAGGTGGATAGTTGATAAAGGGAAAACCAAGTTCACCAGAGCCAGCTCTCCAGCCCGGCGACCAGCGCCAGTCAATGACGTGATTCTGAATGAGACAAGGAATACGTTAATTGCAGCATATGATAAATGGAAAAACACATCAACTCTGGTCCATGGACCCAAGAATCGATGCCTACGAATGACGAAGGGTAGCGTCAGATGTTGAGACACAACGAGAGAAAACAAATGTCCACTGCTGGCAAGGAGAGAGAGGGCGCGCACTAAGAAAAGCACAGCAAAAATACCGCCAGCGGTAATAGCATAAATGGCTAATGGGTCCATTCTTCGAAAATGAAAGACAGTTAAAGGAATAAGGAAGCATGGATAAGGGAAGGAGGGCATGCAAGCAGACAGCCTTTATAGTACATGAAGCTACATGTATAGATGAGGATATCCCGCGCTGAAGTGCTCTGAAGGACGGCGCCATCAGCAGACCAACGAGCGCTCCTTACGTAGGTTCCAGTCAATCAATATGGCCATATCCCAAGGCAAGAATACTTAAGAACCCTCGGTCGCACGACTTCTAGGGCCCGAGAAAAGCATACTATATGGTACCACGTTTGCGAAGCCCGAAATGTCTAAGAACGTTAAGAAATCTTCCTGGATCAAAAAACGTTACTCAGAGAGCAGTCGAGCAAAAGCACAACAACGTCAGCGCCGTAAGAGTAGCCTCTTTAAGAAAGCCGCAGAATTCAGCTTGGAGTGCGAATCCGACGTGGTTATCGCAATTAGGATCCGGAAAACCGGCCAGGCGTATATTTTTGATTCATCACCGCAGGAGGCGTGGTTAAGAACACTCCCGAGCTTGGTATGCACCGTAATAGTGCGTTTATATACTATCTAACTCGCATCCTAGGCATACTCCTATCCCGTTCCAATTCATCAGACAATTGAGGATATCTTACCCCAGCTCGGGGAGCGTTCGCCATCATCTCCGGTTGCCTGACCCAGCGACAGGAAACAATTGCGAGGGCTAGACCATAGCAAAGGAGCTAGTCGCTATTTGGTTAGACCATTCTGTTTTTGTCTGCAGCGCTTCAGCGGTTTCGCGGGAATGATTCGTCAGATGACCAAGGATTCGATGCTAGGAGCACCTTAGTAACTCATATAAACCAATCAGCATCACTTTCGGCTCCAGCGTAAAACCTAGTAGTAGATCTACTAATTCAGTGCATAAAATATCTTATAATCTAAAGCGACTACAAAACAGGAGGCTATGCTGAAGGAGCTGCTTAGAACTCGTAGAAATAGCCCTGGCTCACCTACAATGACTATAATAAAGCAGTCTGTCAACGGCTGTGAACGAGCTTTGAATGAGGCTACCATTGCAAGGTAGGAAGTCGCGGAACTACACGTTGCGCGTGGAAGAACGCTTCAGTTGAGGAAGCTCAGAAGCTTATAAAAGGCAGGATTTCCACTGTAGAGCCTATAGCTACTGCCTCAGTAGATATAGACGCTCCGGTAGAAAGCCAGTGCGTACGCTCTCCACCAAGGTGCTCTGGCTATAATACCATAGGGCATAAAATTAATCAGTGTCCCAATCGTCGGATTATTTAGGACGCGTGGAATTCAGGAGGGGTTGAACGTTCGATTACGTGGAACGCTCGCTTTCCAAATACGTTGGACCCGGCTTGCTACGTCGTCCTGATTCAGGGCCACTCTCCTAATCTACATTGATTTGGTGGAAGGCTTGACGAGGATCTTTGTCATACCAACTCTGCGTGACGAGTAATTGCTTCAGCGAGTGTCGCCACAGCCGTAAATAAGATAATTATTGGAGCCAAAATAAATGAAAAGGACAGAGTCGCTGTCTTGAAGGGAGATAGAGATCTGGGTCCAGTCCGAAGCAGACCTCAACGAATCGTGATTGGGGTGGGGACATACTGGTTGTGTGATCCACCGACCCCTTCGTGGTCTCCGTTTCACGTTAGCGTGTTTGATGTGGATCATGACGGGTGGGGAATAGTGATCGCTGAGGAGCGCTGAGGAGCACTGAGGATCACCCGGAGGCTTACCCCATGGTCCCTTCACTGCAGGTTTCGTATCCACTCAGGCCCTCAGTCTCTATTTCAAGTTAGCGTGTCCGATGGCATTGCCGTATTGGGTTTACTGCCCCTTCTTCGATCAAAGAAGCCGCAGCCCAAGGAAGAAGGCATCAATGCCCTTCCGCAGTGATTTCTATATTATTTCGCGTAGCATCCGTGTTTCAAATATCGTTCAGCAGCGTGTCAAAGACCGGGCAGTGTAAGGAACGGCTACATGGGAGAAAGGGTTGGAAATATATATAAAGCCCATCGTTCCCGCCGGCCTATCTGGAAACCATCGTCTTTTCTCTGCTCATAAATGCCTTTTCTAGCTTGACTCTTGGTAGTCTACTGAACCTTAAAAGGCTTTTCAATTCGCATATTGTTTTCGCATTATTGTGTTGCACTCTTCTACAAGGGTGACGTTATCATCGTGTGATCGTTTATTCCTCACATTGTTGTTTCGCTGTTGGTTCCTATGATAGTTTTGCTCTTTTTGTACCGACTGCCAACGTGTTAGATTCTTCGTGTACCGTATAGTGTGCTAATCGTGTTTTTATCCAACCATGTCATGTTTTATTCCATATACTGCCTTCCTGTTCCTGGCCTAGGTGTTCTGTCAGTTTAAAATAACCTCCTTTCCTACTCGACCGCCTGGCAAGTCGAAGGTGTCGGACATCCTACAAAACCTTAAGCCGGTTGCCACTATCTCTACGGCGAGTTACTATGCTACTGTACCGCGTCCTATTGCGTGGCCCTCGGAATTCTTTCACTGGATATCAATTCGCGCCAGTCTAGTCCTAAGATAGTACATATAAAAGTACGATATAATTGCTAACAGTTCACTGGGGGTTCTATAGGCCTCATAGGCGTCGAGTCCTGGAATATCGCCGCATTATCAGCCGACCGTGTGCAAATGGGACGGCCCCTAGCTGTGGTTTACACTAAGCGGACCTGGCAAGCTTATCTTTTCCTTAAATCCGTTCTTTATTTCACTATAGTGCATGGTACATGGCTCGACGGCCTATCGGATTTGGAGGTCGTTTATGTTGGCCAGGTCTGATGTCTCCTTTGTTGTTCGTTGAATTACCATTCTGACATGGATCGAACATAATCTAGAATCCCGGTTCGGGCTAATATGTCCCATCCAGAACTACACATTCACCATCAGCACTCCCCATATGATACCATATCCCACCCGTTTACTTTTAGAGAATGCTAACCTGTGTTAGCTGATACCGTTGCGAAGTGGATTAACATGACTATCTGACTAGTTACCCTAGTAAATCCCGACCTGCTGCGGTCATGCAGTATGGCTATGATTGCTCTTAACCCTCGGGAGCGCAGAGGCCGAGCCCTTCTTAGAGCATATGTCCGGTCATCGGCATTTCCACTTGCTAGCCCAAAGTAGTGGTGCCCATTGCCACAAATGAAACCGTTCAAAGCTGATGAAACCATGTCCGCAGCACTGCCCCATGACGCAAAGAAGCACTATCTGGCCAATTGCTGCTTGTTGGATGTCCCTGCTGATGCGCAGTACGAGTAACAGTGACTGCAACCATGCCATATCATGCTGGATTGGAAGGGGGCCAGAAGGGTATATAAGGAGTCCAGCCTCCGAGTCCTCGATAAACTAGCATGCAACTTCCACTTTCCACATCTGAGGGCTGCTTCCCACATCACCTTGTACCTCGATAATGACAATCCCTACCCGTGAATGGCGAAAAGGTTTCGGACACAAATGTCGACCCTCTATTGAAAGGCCGCAAGACTATTCTATGCTGGGCTCTGCAAGTCGGCCCATCCTCATTGATTGCGAGGATGATAGGGCCAGTCGACCGGATGACGCGGATGGTGATGCCATCCCAGAAACACCCAGCCATCGCCCACTGAGCTCTGTCTGCTATGGCAGCCAGTCACATTTGACTTTAGGACATTCCGAGTCAGCCGCACCAACTTCTTTGACGGGAGGGTCTCTATCCTATGGCGAGATGGCGGTGCAGCGATCAACCCACTGTGAATGCACCCCAACAGTTTCCTCGTTTGTGGAGGAATCGAAGAGCGCCGTACAGAACACACACTTAGGTTTTTGAGCTGTGCTCTATGATGGACGAAAAGCTGACAAAATCTAGGGCGTGCAACCGAGAGTGAAGGAAAAGTGGCGTCTGACGGGGAGCATATCCATGGTCGCTCTGATTGTAACGATGGCATGGCATTCCCATCAGCTAAACAAAATAGTAACTGGGCTCCAGAGACAGGTGTGTTACATCTTCACTATTAGGATTGTTCCGCTGGCTGAACGAGTACACCAGGCCCCTTATTCGATTGCCCTGGCTCAATGCCCCTGCAGCCACCAGGTAGCCAAGTCGATTCTGTGACGAGCGTCCTTACACACCGGTCAACTAAAGAAGTGGGTTGGAGTTTCTTTGCCTCAGAATGGAGTGGCATTCCTACTCCGAGTTGAGATGGCGTGCTCCGCAGCTGCTCACTCACTATGTCCATCATACCAGCTTCCAACATAGTCCCAGAGTACGTAAAGACGGGCCGTTTCGGAACTGACCCTAATGTCAAAGCATCCAAAGTAAGCCAGGGCGCAGTAGGTTAGGTCACGTTGTGTCTCTTCGCATTTCTGTATGGCCAACTCGATTCATCCAGTTTGATTTCTTATAAATTTGAATCCAAGCTTTGTGAATGGCAAGTTCCTCGGCACATGCAGCTATTGGCCAATACGAAGTCGCTTCCGCCCGTGTACCCCGGCCCCACACGAGTGCTGCTCTCGTAACCTCATTCGCTTTTTCATCGGCCGGTTATCCAATTGGGAACGATGAAAGTCAATGATCAACACCCGCTCTAGCTCGGCGTTCCACAGCATATTATCCGACCGAAGGTCCTGGTGTAAGACCCCAAGTGAGCGAATCTTCTTCTGTGATCGCGAATCTTCATGCCTGATCGCCTCAACATCTTCCAACTTGTGGATGGGTTCACCGCCCCAACCCATCAGGAGCATATGGCGGATCTGGCCAGCCGCGTGCAGGAAGTAGATCATGGCCAGGTCGATGTCATGTGGAGAGACTAAATATGGAAGTTCATTGACCCAGACAGCTTGTATTGGCTTTCGTTTCTTCTTTCTCGGCTGAGCCCCTCTTTTAATACATTCGTGAAGCCTATCCCGAAATCTGCAATTGATCCTAGGCTTGCCGAGTTTACACCTTTTCCCCGTGGCTTCCATCATTCAAACCACCCAGCCTCATCTTCCAGCACCATATCATACCTGCAACCCATTCGCTGACACTGGACTTAGACTGAGCAGTTCTGTGTCACTGTTGCAAAAGCCTCAAGGATAGTCTCCTTGTGGTTTCCAAACATTTCATATTTGTCGCGTCGCACCTCATCCTCTGTTGCCCATGCAAAATCTTGGTGCTCCTTAGGATTCAGTTGTATTACGTCCTTCCATTTTTGTGCCCGCCCTGACACCCCTTGCCTATTTTCGTGGGATATGGAATGTTCGAGCTCGGAGACCTCAATGATGTATGGAAGGCCAACCCATTCGTGCTGTTCGCCATCCTTAGATCGCGTCCAGGTCTGGATCGGGAGAGCGTGAATGACTCGGGACAGTTGCAGGCCAGTCTCTTTCCGAACCTCTCGCTCTAGGGCATCTCGTGGTGTTTTGTCCTGTTCTTCGAAACTCCCAGTGGGTACCTTCCAAAATTCAGGTTCGCTATCGCAAAGAGCGCGTTGAATAAGAAGGATACGAGGGTTTCCTGGTACCCACAAGAATATATGGGCACTAACTCTGATGCAGTAGGCGGTGTCGTGGAGTCTAAGTTGATGAGGCGATTCTGTGATGCGAAAAGCCGATAGGTCCGTGTCGCACTCAAAGCCGAATAATAACCGCTTCACGTTGCGCACTGCGGCAGAAGGATCATGCTTGTACTGCAAAAGCTATCTCTGCAATTCCGCAGCTGTGAACCGGCCCGAAGGCACTTCGTTGGCGAATGCAGTGGATTAGTTATCAATGTCTTCTAGCTTCCAATCAGGGTTGGCTGGTATGGATAATGGTGTGATCTCCATAAAACAAGTGTCAGTAGGTTGCAAATAAACCATGAGAAATATCTGCCGAGCTTCTTGCCATTCGACTGGGCCCATGTTGATTTTCATGTCCGCACGCCCTGGGCGTGTGAGAGCGGGATCCAGCCGCTCGGGGTGGTTGGTGGTCATGATCAAAACGCGGTTCTCTTGCGCTGCTACGCCGTCAGTAGCGTTCAAGATGGCAGAAAGGGTGACACTCCCAGGTGACCACTGGATACGGTCGAGTCCATTGTGATCTGGCTTTCCGCTCGGGGGGCTATCGCTGCTGCGCTTCTTGATGCCGGCTTCGTCGATGTCTTCCAGGAGAACAATGCAATGTTTTGGTAGGTCTCGGAACACAGTAGCCAAGGCGGTCTCATCCAGGCCAACTGCACTCAGGCTGAGCGCGTATATATCCAAATACGAAAAGCTGGCAAGTGCTAGTGACAGGCTTGACTTGCCAGTACCCGGCGGACCATAAATGAGATAGCCTCGTCGATACGGGATCCCGTGGGACTCGTACCAGCTCTTGGTCCTGGGGTCTAGAAATTCCCGGAGATCTTCAACAACACGCCTCTTCTTATCTTGATCCAAGGCTACAGTCGATAAGAATCGGGGCTCTTTAGATGCCACTTACATCCATTGGAAACTGGACCCCACCTTGAACCCCTCGTACACAGCGACTTGTTTGGGATCTCCGTTAACAGGGGTCTTATAAATCTCATCCATGAGATCATCGAGAACGTGTCTTTTCCACGGCACTGCATAAAAATGAAGTCTCTCCATATTCGCAAACCAGGGGCTCACTGCTTCCTTATACAGCTGATGATACAATGCAACCCAAGAGCCTTTGTACGTGAAAAAAATGGATTTTATCCTGCGAAGGTGTATACCGGAGTGTACCGAGACGATGATGACATTTTCTTTTGAGCCAAAATTCCCTTGAGCTCTGACTAAATAATCGGGTATCCGTGGGAATGTCTTTCTCATCATCGGCCTTGCCATCGTCGCCATCCCATGGCGTGGACAGACTTGTCCTTGTACCTGCTACCAGCTGACGGGTCCGATTCAAAGCTGGTTGGAGGGATATCCAGCGCATGGCGCTCGGATACAATTTGTTATGGCTCCATATCTCAGTTGGCGTTGCAAAATATAGGAAGAGAAAAATAATCCGGTTCCAACATGCTGGGAGAGCGAAGGGCAAAACGGCCAGGACTGCCGCAGAGATACGTAGGTGGGATGAGATATCAATATCGAAAAAGAGAGAAACCAAATGAGAAAAGAAACCAAGGCCCGGAATCAGTTCCTCGATCGCTGATGGCAGCATGCCAGAGGGCACACTCGTGGAGTTGATGCCGGAAGCCATTTGAACTTGAATTTGATGGATTTAGTACTCGTCCTTGGGGGAAAGCTCTAGTCCTCTGTATACAATCTACTCTGGTTCAAACAGCCGCACTGCGTTCGGTGATACGAGGCACGCCCAGTTCACGTGTCGGAGACAGTCCGGCGAAGAAATTTCCTGATCTAGGAATCTGACTGCGCGGTCTTTTGCTGGTGTGGCGTCATTGGGTGGGGAGAAAAAAGACAATGATTACAGAAAGGGAAGGAGTCCGTGCCGCGCTCCCAGCTGCAACAGAATACTCTCAGGTGGGTACTGGTGCATCGATAGCTGATTATGGCTCCATGAGACTATCCGAGGTATGTTCTAAGCTAGTGATGAGGGAATTTCGTGAGAATTTGAGTTTGGTTATGTCTTCATGCAATTTTCCATGTCTTGCAGCTGTAGCCGACTCGTGGAAAGGGAAACGGATCAACGCTGCCTATCCAAAGAACATATTGTTGACTCTACCGTTTTACATTTAACTTTCAAAACACCAAAATACATCCAAACTGGGTCCAGCTAATTGTTAGTCTACGCAAGCAGACAGTTCCTTTATGGTACGATAGTAATATCAGCAATACAGGGATTGTCGTTTCTTAGGTCGGATAAAAGGGGCTTATTCTTGGTCGACAGATGCCTCAATACATACTCTGCCCATGGCTTTTCGATAATTGGATTAGCTACATCCGCCTACCCGAATTTTTTATTCCGTCTTTCCCACTCATTTGCCCTTCCAGGCAGTTACACTGAGAGTGGGAGTTTTCTATTTTCGTGTTGCTCTCTCCGCATCCCTCCATCGTGTCACTCGGGCTTGCATTGCTATCATTTTGCGTGTGCCTTGAAACCCTCTGGTTCTAAGGCAACTTGGCTGTTCAAGGGTTGCCACAGAACTCGGTTCCACTCCGTCTTGCACCTCCGCTTGTCACACCGGTGACTGCCAGGCAATTTGTCTACGATACTGTTAATTGATAATTGTCCAGGGTAAAAACAAGCATATGGTAAGAAGAGTGGATCTTACCTATTCTGACTCCAGAGTTCGAGAGCATGGCAGCTGAATATTCCACACATAGAAAGAATATAATATATAATGCAAAAACAGAAAATGAAGGAAATGGTAATCACGTCCCACATCGTGCGAAAAGGCCTGTGAGATAGGTTGTGGTAATGAGGATCGTTTCGGGTCTCCTGATTGAGATGGTGCTATCACAGAATTACCGGAATCTCTATTCTGTAATAACCAGCCAATATTTATTTATCTTCCCTTCCCCCAAAGGGATCAGACAACTAGCGAGGTTCTGTTCCAACCAATTAGTTTTGGAGGACTGTGCAGGTCTACAACGAAAGAGGATTTCGCCTGACTCGTAAACCAGCTCATTCCCTGCGTCTGTCTCTAGCCAATAATCACTAGTCTGTGGTACCTATCCCGAACTAAGCGCGAGTCCGACCACTGTTCAATGATATGCAGCTAGAAGATGCGAGGCAACCAGCGATTGTGATCTAGAAGCCAACTTTGCATCATACTCCAATACCTAGGTTTTCAATACAGCAAGAAATGTGCAAAGTGGGGCCGAATGGAGAGTCCAGGGGGTCTCCGCAAATACGGAAGTATGTACTATGTAGGTAAGACTAACAAGGATTTCATTCCTTTGATTCCCATGCCAGGGTTGCACGCGAACGACGGACTGATCTTAAGAACTATGCGATGTTGTAGGCTATGGGAAATATGAGAGTATTTTTTGACACCAAGTTATCAACGAGATCGCACTCTGAATTGTTCTTAGCCATCCGGACAGTTGATGAAAACCATGGTTTGTTTCCTAACCACGATTGTTTATGATCCTCACTAAAGTGTTATATATCAAAGGCTCGCAACGTTGTTCCCACGTCTGAGTCCATTCTCTGCAACGCTGCTCCCTTGCCCGAATCCATTCTCCGCCTTCCAGCCCAGACAGCAGTGAAGGCATTGCAAGTACGGTGCTTAAGCATCTTGGCGGATGACTGCAACCGCCTACGGTATAGGCTCAGTCGTGATGCCGTGAATCTCTTAGATACTTGCCAGGCTTTCAAGAAAAGCGGGTATAAGCAGGAATGGGTAGATCGCTTAGCAGGCAGTGAACTGCTCCATAGCTACGCCGAGACTTTGACAGAAATACTCAGCTACAACGATCTTCTTAAGTTGGCTCTCCTTACTTGGCACTTTGATGGATCCTTCAATGGCCCAAAGGCACCGCCACCATCTCGAGAGCTCCTGATATTCTTATCGCCACCAACATATGATTGCGAGCAGCTGTGCAAGACGCTCTGGGAACGATACAACCACCGACACGCGCGGGAAGAAACATTGGAAGATTTCGGCGCCAATTTTGTCAGGCTGTTAAGCATTCTTGAGTATGAATTTGGTCTAGTATTTTTCGTCCGATAGACTGTCTAACAACAATCGCGGGTGATATGTTATCATGAGAATACACCCGGCAGATAAGGTAGTCTGGCAGCCAACTCAGATAGATTTGCTGAATGTAATGCTCGTATGACCAGTCGAGCCAAACCCGTTTACTCGAAGTGCGGTGTAAGCGGCTTGAGAGACACTTTGTGCTGGGAGGGGGTGGGGGTTGTTTGTTTGTACGTCCACGGAAGAGTGAATGTTCCAATATAGTGATTTTTATCAACAAGCTTGGTCGACAGTTCGAATAATATTGTCTTACTTCTTTGTATAATGACCTTTTTAAGTGTGTTGAGCTTTCTTTCCAGGTCAGACATAATCAGCATTTTAAGCACCATATGAAGCAAACAGGATACAGCATTCATGGACCATTCAGATACGAGTAGGTTATAGAAATAATTCTATGGTATGGCTCTTAAGCCAAGCGGAAATGCACTGGCTCCACCTGAAACCGTCCAATGAAACGATGTGTTCTCCTCCGGCCAAAGCCAATCAGAGTGCTTTGAGACTTGTCAGTCAGGGTCAAGTGTGTTCGTTCCTTACTTTGGTTTTACACTTATCACAGTCGAGGAATGAATTGAGGATGCCTCAAATAGACCGTTGAGCAACAAGGTGGAAGTCCGCACGAGTTATGCTAATTCATAAACCAGTGTGTGAATATATACATACGAAATGTTACAATCACTCAAAGAAAAGCAAGACGCATCCATCCACCGGCCAAGCTAGGTTTGAATAAGGAGCGGCAACCGCAATCCCGATTGACTCTATCTCAGTTGAAACCATCTTCAACCCCTGGATTGACGTTTCCCCAGTTGTTCCACACCGTGCTTTCGTCAAGTATCGCTCCTTGCGGTAGATAATCGGAAGGCAGAGCCGAGGAAGATGGACCTGTATAAAAGAGTGAATCTGCTTGATGGGACCACACTTGAAAAAGAAATATATGCGTTAGAGCGTGACATCAGTTCTGTTTGGACATCAACCGTATTGGGAAAAAATCACTAACTGGCAGTTTGACTATAAGTGGCTGTATTCGGAGTTATATGCTCATGCGTCTCAGCATCCTCCTCATAATGCTCAACAATATATGCAAGTTCAAAGCATTTTGAATCCTTTGGCAGCTGCTCTGCAGGGATGGAGGCCTTGAGGGCCTTTCGATAATATAAAAGGAAGGTTGATGGTCCGTGTTTCTCATGCTGAGGCCCTTATGGGTGTCGTCCTGCTGCTCTCGAAAATGGCGGTATAATAGATAGGCGCGCGGGAATCCTCGAAGGCATTCTGGACAAATAAACTTTATTGATGTGTGCTCAATGATTTTATTGAGAGTGTTATGCTGCCTTTGCAAGCTAGCCATGGTGGATTGAAAGAAAACCAGGGGCTGGTCGACATGACCATGCTTTAATATTTGGGCTTCAACAGAACTAAATACTTTTTTGTATCAGTTTTATTCTGCACACGGCGGGCTTTTGACAATCACACCTGCCAACACCTCCTAGTACTTATGCGTCGCCTGTTATATCGAGTGGACAGGCACCGTATTCATTACCTACTTACGAATACTACGTACAATGATCGGCTGCATCTATACATGCATGGCTACTATTGCTAGTGGCTTAGAGCAATTGGCCATCCAATCCTTCGACCTAGTCTATTTCGAAAACGCTAACTGGATCCGAAGGTTTGCGAATGGAAATCCGCTTGCGCTCGTCCCTGGCCTCATTTCGAAGGTTATCCAGTTCCTTCTCGTCGAACCGCCTTGCGCGTATTGACTCCGCTATCTGTTCTAAGGCCGCAAATTTCCACCCAGCTTTGACAACTGCAGTTGCAGCTGGTGGGCCAAGCGACTTGAACTCATTCCATGGAAGGCGGTCCCGGAATTGGTTGCGATGAAATGTCACCACCAGGTCGTCCGGTCCTCTCTCGGCGTCCACGAAGATTAAGATCTGAACTGTTGTTAGACCTTGCATCCTGCAATGTAGGTGCGAGTTTCTGACCTCTTCTCCTTGGACACTTCTCGCCGTCGGCCATAGCCAAGGTTTAATACCACCCCAGATGCTGGCCAGGCAATCCATCATTTGGTACAGATAGATAAGAGTGTACAGACACGAGAAGACTTGGTAGTGTAATATTAAAGAAAGACAGACTAAGGAAGCCCTATATGATTAAACTCCAAAAATATTGGGCCCTTTTTATACTACATGAGGGCTGTATTACTGCCCTGCTTAATTCGGCGAGGCCTCGATACCTGTGATGTGCGACAAGTGCCTAGACGTAACATCATGGCTTCGGGAAGTCAATTGTCTGCACTATTCTGTAATCGTGTTTCGAACCTACGACGTCGTATCGATTGCTTCGATGTACAGAGCAGCAAGTGCATCAAACAGTGTAATTTGAGCTATCTGGTCAATACGTTGTATAATGGGGAAAATGGGCATATTGGGAAAATTGGGACTTTTGGGTACTATCCCTGCCGGCGCTAATGCTGCCACTGACCAATAATGCAAACATGATCCGACACGTCACCTTCCTTCCTCTTTTTGAGCCCTGTTTTCAAGGCTCCTGAATTTCTTCCCAACTTTCCCATCATTCCCAAAATTTTCTTTTTTTATCTTAAGGTGATTCATATAGATTAAGCGGTAAGAGTTAGCTATGTGGGTCCCAAGTAATAGCTGTTGGGGCCGAAAGCTTTGAGAGATTTGGGAGAAATGGGAAATTTGGGACGGACAGTCAGGGGCAGTCATGCGACATTCGGAAAAACATTTCACGGCGAGTTTCTCGATTAGGTGAGAAGAAGCAGGTAACCACCATACTGCCGGGTCGCTAGCAGTTTACTGCAACCAAGTGTTGAGCTATAGCATTAGAGGTTACCATTCCGAGTGCCCGAGTGTTGCCTCATCTGATTATATTGCGGCGGGGTCACCCCACCTTCCACGAGAAAATTCACGTAAGAACCATGTGCCTTGGGCATCAAGAATACCGTAAAGGTCTAACACGCAAGTCTGGTTTAGAGCATGACAAAAGACCCGCCCTTGTAATCACTTCTGTTGCATTCATTTACTGAGAAGAAAATTGAGTAATCATCTCTCATTCGTGAACCCTCTTCGGCTTTTCTATTTCACCAACATCTCCCCAACAACCTCCGATAAGCCATACGAGAATACCGCTTTCTAGCTTTCAGGTTTCTCACTTAGTGACAACCATGGAAAAGGATGAGGTTGAAGACAATGGAATTTCAGTTAGGAATATGTCCGATAAGGATATCCTTGAAGAAACAAAAGAGAGACTTAGACAAGTTGGAAATCTGGTGAGGGACATTGGATATTATTTAAAGTTAAAGGTGGTTTACTAATTCTGAGCAGCCAACAGATGACATTAAGCTGGACCCCGAAAGCACATCCACATCGGGTGTTGTTCCTCTAGACTCAACTGTTTTTGCACTCCTTCTCAAGAGTAATGGCGGGGGTGGAGTCGTCAGAGTGTTAAGCAAGCCGACTAGGTACATTAAAACAGATGGATTGTCCGAAGAAGTCCTTGTTATGTTGAAGCCTGGGGAAAAATCTTTAATCCTAGGCTCGCTCTCAGTTCGCTATATTCGCAGTCGAAGTGCCCAATGAATATACGAGATCAATCGCCAATTCCCAGGCAAATAGCAATACTGCACTTGAACCCAGATCAGATGTGACCTTGATTTCGACTGAAGGGAATGCGCCGTATAAGGGAAGCTTCATTTTCAGACTTGGAAAACTGGGCTCGTATTGCTGGAGCAAATTGACAGTGGCTGGCACATTCGTGAGATCGTTACGGGTTTGGAGGAAATGAATGAGCTCCTGAATGCTGAAGTTGAATTCTTGATAGGGTGGCTCGCTTGGTAGGAGGCTGATTTGGAGCATTAGTGTCTTGTCACGATGAAGGAGCATAGGTCCCTCCATGGGATTTGACTGGTCTTGACGTTCTTCTGGAAATTGTACTACGATATTATCAGCGAGGAAATATTAAAAAATAGATGTCTTCCTTACTGGTTTCCACATATTCAATCCCCTCCTCATCGCAGATCTCCTGCACGAGTTTCAACAATCTCTTTGGACGTGCAGCGTTTTCCCACCAGCTCCGAAGTTTTGGGTTAAGCTCGAGATGGCTCTTGCTTCCTAATTCAGTGAACCCTGTTACGAAACATATTAATGTAAAAACTGAGGAACTCAGTTTCGCAATTTTTGATAAATTGTATTGTGCTGTGGATTTTCTCTGACGTGTTGAGCTTTTGTTCTGACGCAAAATCTGGGGATCTTCTTTAAGAAGTTGGCAGCCGGCACCGAAACGATTAAGCTGGAAAGTCGTTGGTTGGTGGGTTTCGCTGTAGTACTTTTGCCTTTCATCTTCCAGTCGTTTGATAAGCGGATCATGTGGCAATGCCATAGTGATGCGAAAAATTGTGTGGAATGGGAATTGATACAAAAGATGGGAAACTTGGGGGTTGCGTAATAAAATGGGAATTTTGGGATACATCATGTGCACGTCCTAGACCTCGCCATATTGCTTTTTTGGGTACCCATGGGTTACCCGCAAACCCGCCAAGAACCCAGAGCTCCGTATTTTACAGTAATATCTATGAAAGATCCTGACATTAATATGTGCAGATGTGTTATATGTGTATATATTACCGTTATTTACTTCTCTTGGCGGGTTTTGGGTCAAGGGTCGAAACCCAACCCGCGATTTGGCGAGGTCTAGCACGTCCTTTAGAAAGTGGCACATATCACATGCGATACCGTTTCCGAACCATTGAACTCTGAAAATAGCGGCATCCAATCACGTTGGATGACTCAGTATTGACTGCCTCGACTAAAAAAAAAAAAAGAATTCGACATTGACGCTAGGGCCCATTAAATCACCTACGCGTCGCTCTCAAAATAGTATTGTACTGGACACGATGCCTGAATTATCCCAGCTATTGTTGGCCTTGGCTACACGTCTTTTAGCTGAGCCACCACTTATGCAGTCTAGTTCAGAAGGAAATGGAATATGGTGTTTAATCTGTTTCAAGTGCTGTTGCTCCTGCTTTATTTTCTAGCCAATATGGGCACCCATATTCTCACAGCGCTGGTCACGTAATCCCATCTGCCCAGAGATATTATACGCGGCACTTCAGTAACTTTAGGAACACCTTCATTGGCTTATTGCAAGAACTTTATAGGCACTTTTCAGCTCTTTTTGCTGCGGACTTAATGAAAGTACAGATAAGATATGTTCACTGCTTTGCCGTCAAAAAATATAAAATGGCCAACTCGCAATTAGTGTCTGCAGCTTCCTAAGACTTTTCGAGTTGCCCGGAATGTCTGACGAATCGACGTGGATTTTGTGCTCGCGAAGACCCACTTGCTTACTATCTCCCTCTTTTTTTTTTTTTTTTTTTTTTTTTTTTTTTTTTTTTTTTTTTTTTTTTTTTTTTTTTTTTTTTTTTTTTTTTTTTTTTTTTTTTTCTTTTTTTTTTTTTTTTTTTTTTTTTTTTTTTTTTTAACACAATTTTGGACGCAGTGAATGGCACGCACCCTTTAGTCAGAGTAGAACTGACAAGACTGGAGAGGAAGCCTGCATTGTACCATTCCAAAAGTACGACTGCGGTTTTGGAAAAGGAGAAAAAAGGATTCTATTTTAGTATCTACGATCACGTGACCTAAATGCAAGTTGTCCTACATTTTGTGAACAGTTAAAGCTCTGATAGTGTCTAAGTATTGTACGTCTCTGCCTGCTCTGGTAGAATATTCCCAAAATGACAACAAGCCTTCCTCTTTTCAGGGGAAACAGCATTTCCTTGGAAGATGCCTTGGAAGATGACGACAATATTCTCCATCGGTTAGATTATCCGGAGAAAAAGAAGGAATTCTGGTCGTATCTTCTCTCTCATAAGAATGATGTCGAAGAATTAGTGTGCTTTCATCTTTGTGCAAAACATTGCCAGGTAGCTGATGAAGCTCATTGGTTATTTGGGAGCTACAATGTATGCATTCCTGTCTACGTCGACCCTCCATCCGAGCAAGCGGTTCTTGTTCGAATTCCCTTACCTTTCAAAATCGGAGAGACATTTAATCCTGGAAATATGGATGAAAAGCTGCGGTGCGAAGTAGCTACCTATATTTGGATTCGTGAGAATTGCCCGACTGTCCCTATTCCGTCCCTATACGGATTCGCATTCCCCAACGGGCTTACTGTTTGTGAACTCAGATCTAATATTTTTCAGAACGAATTAACTAAGTGCCCTATCCTAGTTTGCTGAAGTGTCTTCTGTATCCTTCCTTTCTCGACTCCAGTGGCGTATAAGACGGACCATCAACTCGTTGCTTGGGTTCCCTACAGCATGCCCCTATATCGGCCTCAGACGGCCGAATCCATTGAGAACCGGATACATGATCATAAGCCTCGTGAAGAATGGCCAGATGCTTTCCAATTCTTGGGCCACATATCTTCTTGAGGATAATTCGCGCAGACAGACTCTTTTCCGTGACCTCGCGAACATCATAATTACATTGAATCGTACACGGTTGCCGCAAATCGGGTCTCTGACTTTAAGTGACAACGGGGTTATTAGTGTAACGAACCGTCCCTTGACACTTCGACTCCAAACATTTGAAAATGAAGGTATTCCTACGATCCCGAGAACCTCAACTTACCAGGCTGTAGAGCCTTATATTCTAGATCTTTTACAGTGCCATGACAACCGCATTTACTACCAGCCAAATGCCATCCATAGCACGAATGACGGCCAGGAGCAATTTGCTGCTTTGACTATGATGCGCGGTCTTCTCCATCAATTTGTGTCCCGTCGATATCGCGATGGGCCATTTGTGCTTACACTTACTGATCTTCACCCAAGCAACATCTTCGTTGATGAAGACTGGCATATAACGTCCCTTATTGACCTAGAATGGGCATGTTCGTTCCCTATTGAGCTACAAACGCCCCCGTACTGGTTATCTGGTCGGCCTATTGATGACATTGAACATGGGGAGCATCTACAAACTTTCGATAAGATTATCAATGAATTCATAGATACCTTTGAAGAACAGGAAAAAAGGCTGCAAGGCCCCAATGCTTTCCAGGCTCAGATTATGAGACAGTGCTGGGGTAGTGGAAGTTTCTGGTATTTTCAAGCTGCACATAGCCCAAAGGGCCTTCTTAGTGTCTTCAACGAGCATATCCAACGCAAATTTTGTGAGGAACATTGCACCCAACGTGTGTTTGATCGAATTGTCAGCCCATACTGGTGTGTAGGAGCCGAGGACTTTATTCGAAAGAAGGTGGAGGAAGAGAAAGAGTACAAGGATCGGCTGAGAAAACGGTTTGATAATGTTGGCCAACAATGATGATCCATGCGTCTGAAAATTTTCTCTTGCATTCTGTTCTTTCGTGAGCGGGTCTATTGTGCCAGGTGGCGTGAGAAGACGTTCTGTTGTGTCTTATTCTTACTATCTTACCTACTAGTCCTTCTTCTTGCTCTGTCTTCTTTTTTGTGCCTCTTCCCCTGAAGATATCACCTGTCCAATATTTGGATTGTTGGCAATTTGCTGAGATGGTAGCTCTATGTCCTTCTTTCCTCTTGCTCTCCGAGCTTCTTCACCTGACGATGTCGACATGTTTATAAGTTGATTTTGCTCGATCCTCTTCTGCTCTGCGGTACTTTTATCGGTCATATTGAAAGGGAATAAGAGGGCTAATAGAAAATGTATCCAGAGAGCGACAGGTGCGAGGTTGGAAGTGGTGTTATTCTATAGGGAGGGTGACATGTAATAACATAACCTGCCACAGTGCGGGGACTTCACATGACAGGTAGTAACCCACATAGAGACTTTTCTGGATGCTAATGCATGGTGATTATGCATCTGTTGATTTGATAGGTGAAGGGCGCCCATTCTATAACTAGAGAGGGGCCAAGACTTCTCGAAATAAGCCATCGAGGACTCGAGCTGGGCTTTATCCTACTGCGGGTGGGCAATGGAAGAGCTACTGTGCCTTCCCTTCTATTGGAGCAAGAACTCTGAAACTAGCCCGTTGAGTTGTGGGCAATCTATTGGAATGGTGCAAGTGGTATCGGATTTGGGGCTTTAAGAAGCGAGATTATGTGTCAGTACCATTGAAATACCATCTGTTAACGATCATGGTTTAGAACTCTATTGGTTGATGGTGACAATAACTAAGCAGAGGGTTGCGGAGAACAGCAGCAAACAGAGCATTTCCTTCAGGATCGCATGCATGATGTAGACAGCTGTCTCAGGAAGTCTTATAATATACCCAATTAAAATCAATACAGTAACGCGCGAGGCTTAAATTCGTTTATAACTAACTGAATAACCAAGGCAGCTAGCTGTACTTGAGACTGCAAGTTAGTCGAGCAATCACGCTGTATAGTGACAAAGTAATCTATGTGTTTTCATGAAGCAAAACCATGCACTAATCACTCTCCCATTCCATTACTTCAGCCAATAGGACATCTTCCCACCTCCCCCTGTTAATATTGGGATGAGGGGTGGTCATGTGGTACGTGCTCTGGTTCTCTTACAGGTATTCGGGGTTGGGTGAAGCAGCTATTATTCGTCGCTCCGTTTGGACGGATTTGCCTCAGGAAGTCAGGCACTCTCGGTTGCGGAACTACATAGCTCCGTATTGCCAAGACTGGAAACCAACCCGTGGAATTGAGCTACCTTCGTCTTATCTGGACCACGCTTTCCGACAGGACTAAACTGAGCGCGGAGTAACGTGAAGTGTGCTCACCGCCGCGGGAAGCAGTACGAATGATTCCGCTGCTTTCCGAGGCGCTTTCAAGGCATAATATATTCTAAATTATACTTTATAGTATCCAACGGTACATGTTATTCTGGAAGGTCATCATCTGGGACATCCTCAAGTTCTCGTCCCGCGTCCCAACCTTCTAGCCATTCCGTCAACCTTTTGGGGGGACCAGGTTGATCTGGAAACACTCCGTAGAAGTTCTGAATTTATACGGAGCACCCTAGAACCCGCGTGCTGGATACCAGGTCGGATCAAAATCACATCCTTTCCACTGAGCCTGATATTGCAGCTTTCCTCTCCAGATCCGTGACGCCAGGATTTGCTCCACTTCCCATTCTCGCTCGTCGATGGGGTTGAACATCACTGGTGTCTTGATATTGTTTCTTGAGGAACATCTTCCCTAACCCAGAAGGGGGATTGATACCCAGGTCGGTATCTTGCAAGTGGGGCTGCCCGCCCATACTAAATCGATTAGGGTTGTCCGCCCGGCGACGAAGGTATCTTCATAACGCGCCCGTAGACCTTGACCACCCCCGCCGGGCGGAATCGCGTGAAATTTATCCAGGTAAGAACGCAGGACTTGGATTAGTCCTGGCTCGCTCCGGAGCCGGAAACTCAATGATTTGCGGTGGTAATGATGGATTGAAGTCGACCAGTTCGCGGTGTGGTAGATTTGGTTGGGGTGGCTGCGGACCGGCAGAATTCCCCGACCGCCCAGAGGCCCCCCCAGCCGCCGTGTCAGCTGTATATATTTAGAGTATCGGTCCATTGTGTACGATTGTACTCAGGGGTAAATATATTATTACCGTAAATCCAACCCATCCATTTCAGCGCTTCCCATTGTAATTCACCCCGTTTCACAACTATCCCGTGGACTGTCCCGACTATGGAGCATCCCATCTTCCAGCCGCTCGACGGATTGCCCGTGATTATTTGTAAAACCTGTCAACATGGGGTGTGGCCCCGCGAGATCGTCCGCCATGTGAAAGACGGCGCGCATGGAAAGACCCACCAGGAGGCGGTCCAGATCCAGGAGACCGTCCAGCGCTGGGAGGGGATCGCGATGGGCCCCGAGGGGGTGGTGATCCCCCGCCAGGTCGAGCAGGCATGGCCCGGGTTGCCCAAGTATCCCGATGGGCTGCTGTGTCGCCGGGATTACCCCCGCTGTCGATATATCGGGCGCAGCTTGCACAGCATGCGCAAGCACTGGCAGACGGTCCACGGCTGGACGCGGCAGGGATCGCGCGGACGGGTCACCCCAGCGGAACGGACACGGCAGGAGGCGGAGGTGCGACGATCATATATCGTGGTGCACTGCCAGCAGATCTTCCCATCCCGTACCGGGTCCCATTACATCCACGTCTGCGGGGGCGAGACGGAGCCGCACATCCCCGTTTCCACTGAGCAGGTCGACGAGGCCATCGCGGCGGTGCGGCAGGCGGTGGACGAGGCGCAGGCCCACGCCCCGTCCGGTGCTGGCGAGGATGTCCGCGACGCCAACTCGTGGCTGCGGGTGACCCGGTGGACGCAGTACCTGCAGGACTTCACCACCCCGGACGATTTCACCACACTGCGGGCGTTGGTGGAGACGCCCGCCCCCGACAGCGATAATCCCGTGGAGCAGCGCGTCCGACGGATCTGGGAGGCGATGGAGGGCGTGGTACGGAAGAGCCAGCAGACCGTCCAACACACGGGCCAGGCCATCCGCGTGGAGGCCGTTCGATCCGAGAAGGGGCAGACCCCGTATCGTCCGCTGCAGGCATACCTGGATGCGGACAGCGTGGCCAAACACGTGCAGCCATGGCAGCAGATTGTGGCGTTCATCGCGCGCACGCAGGCGGCCCCGGCTGCCGAGGGCAAGCGTCCCGCGTACGGGATGACCCCGCGGCAGCGGAAGAAATGGCGGCGGCTGTGGCAGGCCACGGTGGATCCGGTTGCCGGCCATCCGCCCGTCGACGAGGGGTGGGTGAGAACCCGGAGGACCCGGCGGACCCCATGCAGCGGTGGCGGATGAGCGAGATCGAACAGGCGTGTTTAGCATTGTGTATCGAGCTGCTGAACCAGACATATCACGCGCAGGAGTACGAGAGCGTGCTGATTTGCGCCATGGCCGTGTTGGGCCGCGGGGAATTCGGCTGGCGCGACCCGGAGAGCTATCCCCCGATCTTGTCGCGGGTGATCAAGGTGGCGCGGTTCATGATCGTCCAGCAGGCATTGTGGTGGGATCCCAATGTACTGCAGATCATCGAGACGTGGCAGCAGCCGCAGACGTGCGCGGCGTGGACGTTGCGGAGTGCCATCACCGACATCGATTCCGCGTACGGCAGCGACGACGAGCCCGAGCCCGTGCGATTGGGGTCGACATCCCCCCCGACATCCCCCATGTGCAGCCCGGATCCCCCGTCCCGGATGGAATGGAGCCAGAATCCATCGCGGAAGACATTCCAGGAGCAGGTGACATACCTGGTTGGCCAGTTGATGGTCCGCGGGACGCACACGCCGATGGAGACGCTGCAGGACTGGCGGACGTACGGGCTCAAGATCCATTACAACACCACCGCGCCGGGCCATGTGACGTGGATGCAGCCGGACCGACTGCTGTACCAGCACATGGAGTTCACCGTGGGCGATTTCCGGGGCTTCGTGCACGGGATGACGGCGGCCGCGCGGCAGATTTTAGGCGAGGAGCTGCTGTTCGGGCAGACCCCGGCCATCCCGTGGCACGCGCTGTACGACGATCCCACGCAGGGGGCCGTGGGCTGGAGCTTTTTGAAGGATTCGCGGACGCGCTGGCCCGTGGACGAGCTGATCGTGTGGTATTTGTGGCTGGTGTTGCCGTTTGTCCAGCAGCTGGAGACGTGGTACCAGCGGGCCACGCAGCCATCCACCCCCGATCCCCCATCAGGGTTTCCATTCGGGTCCGGACCCCAACCCACATTCGGGTCGATGTCGCCGTACCTGTGGGGCCCCGATCCCGGCACGCACCGGGCATGGACATCCGATCGGTTGCGGGAGGCGTTGAAGCGCGAGACCAAGATGCGGTTGCGTCATCCGATTGGCATCCAGGCATATCGCGACATCGCCATCGGGATCAGCCGGCGGTGGATGCGGCCGAGCAGCCAGTTTCCCAGCGACGTCCGCGAGGAGCGGGAGGCGGCCCCGACGGCGCTGGACGCGGACGCCGAGGAGCACATGGACGAGGCGCAGTGGCTGGGGCACATTGCGGACTTGCAGGCGGCGCATTCATCGCACGTGGCGGGGATGGTGTACGGACGGGGGATCATGGAGCAGGCGGGGACCACGGCGCACCGCCAGCGCATGTTCCGGCTGTCCAGCACCGACTGGCATCGATTTTTGGGATTTGCGTCGGCCGATTGTGGTCCGGATCGCAGTCCTCATCCCCACAAGCGCAAACGGGCGCCGTGGGAGGAGGAGGCGGACGAGAGCCAGATCATGCGGCGGCACCGGCTGAACACCATGGACATGACGCAGGCGTTGCGGCAGATGACGGGCCAGGCAACCATGCAGTTCCGCGGGGTGCAGGCGGCGGCATTGCAGGCGATCCAGGACGGCGAGAGCCCCGTGGTGGCGGTGATGCAGACGGGTGGGGAGAAGAGCATGCTGTTCATGCTGCCCGCGTTCGCGGAGCCCGGCGGGACGACGATCGTGGTGGTGCCGCTGCTGTCACTGCGCGGGGACATGATGCGGCGGTGCCAGACGTTGGGTATTTCGTGTGTGTCGTGGGAGAGCCGGCGGCCCCCGGACGAGGCGACGATCGTGCTGGTGACGCCGGAGTCCGCGGTGGCGGAGGATTTCCATACATTTATCAACCGACTGCAGCAGACGCGGCGGTTAGATCGGATTGTCATCGACGAGTGCCATGTGGTGCTGCATAACCAGCGGGATTTCCGGCCCGAATTGCGGCAGCTGGGACGGTTGAACCACGCGCGGACGCAGATGGTGCTGCTGACGGCCACGCTGCCCCCCACGCTGGAGGGGACGTTGTTCCAGCGGATGGAGTACGCGGCCGAGGAGGTCCGCATGTTCCGGGACCGCACGAGCCGGGCCAACGTGGCGTACCGCAAGTTATGTTGTACTCCTTCCCTTCTATTGCGTCTGTCCCAACAGATGTCTGACTATGAAATCAGTTTGCAATATGAAATATCGGATTAGAAGGCAACAAACATCGTCTGGCATTGCAAGGACCTGTCGCTCTCAGTCGTGCCTCCGTCGCTCTTTAATAAATACTCGATAAAGTGAACTATGTGGATTTTGATTAGATTAGCATTATCTTCTCATACAAATCGGAATGGCTTTCTAAACATTCAACCAACCGTTCAAACTTAGTAAGGGGTCATGTAGATGGCTTGAATGGAAGCATGCTGGTATGTGACACGATGGTCTACTTAATATCAAATCTTTAGATTCATTGGGAAAGGTCCAAGATTTATGAAGAGGGGCAAAGATTGAGTGTCATATGACTAAGCCCCCACTTTGCTTCAGCACAGATCCAAGCACCATTGGGCACCAAAAGTTGATGACGCCAGACATTCTTTAAGCATAAGTACTCATACTTTGACTAAATGAACATAACTTGCTGCTGAAAGGGGATTTGAATATCATATCTCTAAAGAGCTCTTTCAATGCTAATCGGCGAATCAATTCGGTCCTTGGGAAGTCTGAGAAGGTGGGCGGAACAATAATCTTCCGGAGGCTCAATATCGCGACTTGAAGCTATTCCACGTCAACAAGTATTATGCTGACAAGTTTGTGCTCTCACCGCCCTTCTAGTTTTGTTGTTTGACTGCCAGGAAAGCCATTGCTGACCCAAAAAGAAGTAGAATATCAACTAAGATCTGCCTTAAGATGATTGACTTCTTGCTGGGCGAGACTAGCTTCACCTCGTCACAATGTGTAATTGACAGAAGCCGAATTGCTCCAGCGCAAACCGATGCCTTCAGTGAGGTAAGAAATTAAAACCGACAATGAAATTCCATTCCGTATCGGTTTAAAACATTTTATCAATGAAGTGTTCAAATTGAACAGCAACTGGATAAAAACTTTCAAGCGTATAATTTGTTGATGACGGATTCCTAAACTTCAATAATGCCGTATTATCTTTCAACAGAGGGCTTTGTACTTTATCTCGGTATATACAGCACTATCATTCAGTTTTGGAAGTAACGCTGCGTTCTGACGTCTGAGACAACGGGAGCTCATTGTGAGCTTCGCATCAGCGTTAAAATTATGATATCTGTATGACTCCTACTATAAATTGAGAGCATTAATTAGTTATACTTTTCGGCCTTATTATTAGACTACCCCACAATTACAGCCGTTTTAGATTGGTGCTCGGCCTTTATTATAATCTAGATCCGCGCTCGAGGTGTATCTTGTGCCTCAACAGCTCCACTTAATTCACAGAAGCCTTAAATGGGAGAAATATCGGCTTCTCATCGAAACGAATGACGGTAGGACATATACTCTTAGACTTTCTGTAATCAACCTGGCGTTTGGTCCTGTTAAATTTGCTGTTATAACAAGAACAGGTCACTTCAATTGCCTTCAACCTATTCTGATAGTCCATTCCCATCGACCAAGACACAAATATAGACAATAAATCAATTAACGAGGTACTTCGCCCTGTGCTCTATAAGAAGCTCCATAATTTGAGAGCCATGAAATCCTCCATTTCCTGCTGCTGCCTCGATAATGCCTTCAGAGACCGGGAGGCTCTCTCCCCAGTATCTCAAAAGAAAACTTATGTTTTGATATCCATTTTCTTTATTTCCTGCTGCTGCCTTGAACACCTCTTCAGAGACTGGGAGACCCGTTCCTTGATACTTAAAGAGAATCTTCAAAAGCCAATGGCTGTCTGATCCTTCGTTCTCAGCTGCTGTCCTAACCACTTCTTCTGAGACTAGGAGACTATTGCCTCCTTCTTGTAGCAGAAGCGCCATGATTTCAGGTCCATGTAGTGCCCTATTCTCTGCTGCTGCCTTAAATACTTCTTCAGAGATAGGGAGCCTCTCACCTCGATATTTTAAGAGTACTTCCATAATCTGACGTCCATAAAATCCTTCATTTCCGGCCGCTGCTTTAACCACATCTTCTGAGACTGGCAGGTTCCTCCCTCTCTGTTGTAACAGAAGCTCCATAGTTTTATGTTTATCCAATCCTTCATTGGCAGCTACTGCCTTTATAACTTCTTTAGAGACTGGAAGGCTCCCCCCTCGGTATTGTATAATGATCTCCATAATTCGATGGCCGTAAATTTGGTTCTCAGCTGCTGTTTTCAATATCTCCTCGGAGATGGGAAGACGCTCCCCTCGGAACTTTAAGAGAGTCTCAATAGTTTCATGACCGTTTGATCTTGCTGCCGCCTCCTTTACCACGTCTTCGGAGATAGAAAGATCTTCCCCCTGATATTGTAAGAGAATCTCCATTATCAGATAGCCATATAGCCCGTTATTCTTTGCGGCTAGCTTGACCACATCTTCAGAGACTGGAATATTTTTCCCTCTTTGTTGTAAAAGAAGCTCCATGATTTGATATCCACAAGACCCCTTGTTTTCTGCAGCTAGCTTCATCACTTCTTCAGAAATAATGATATTTCTATCATGAGATTCAAGAAGAAGTTGGATCATTTGATACCCATATGTTCCGTTTTTTGCCGCTGCCTTAATCACTTTCTCAGTGATAGGGAGACTCTGCCCTCGGTATTGTAAAAGGACCTCTACAACTTCGGGACCTTCAAGCCCTGTATTCTCTGCTGCTGCTTTAACGACCTCCTCAGATATCAGAAGACTTTCTCCTCGCTGGTCTAAAAGAAGCTTCATGATTCTATGGCCATAATATCCGTTCCCTGCGACTGCTTTGACAACATCTTCGATAATCGGAATCCCTAAAAGATCCTGGGAGAACAGGCGTTCTACTGCTCTTTCAGTGTCTTCTGACTGAAGGAGTACCATAGCGATCTCATTCAAAATCCCAGCCATATCGAACAATCGTTGTTGCCTCTCTGAAGGCTCTTCTTGGTATTTGGTGCTGGCAATGGCGGGCTCTGCCCCGTCCCCCAGTAGGCCTTGAGTTTGAAGTTTAGCCAAGGGTATTTTCCAGGTCAGCAGGACAGTGTATGTTGAATTTCCGCTTGTACCGCTTTTTAAGAAGTTTTCCAAGTCCCGCCCCTGCAGCTCTTTACTTCGTTTCTGTATCACTGTCGTTTTTATCATTATAAAATGCCTTTTGCGCACTCTAAGAATACTTGGCTTAGAAGTCCCCTCAAGCAGGAAAATGATGTCTCCTTCCTGAATTGATTTTGCGGAGTAGTGAACTGTCCAGTATTCTTCATAGCCGAGTGAGCGTGCAGCATGGCTCAAGAAAACCTTAACACGCTGTATGCTATTCTTCGAGACTTCCTCGACAACAGAAACAATCAACCCCAAAATCAATCCTCTACCCTTGATAACTGCAGTGTCTGTACCAGGCCAAGTCTCCACCAAACATTCCCTTGAGAGAATGTATTTAGTGAAGTGTTTAAAGACCTGATGCCACGGGATTCCGTAGTTGGGTTTCAGTGCAGGCGTTTTTGGGTCATCAGCACTTAGGCCTAGCAATGCATATAGTTTGTCATGGTTATTCGAGGACTCGTGAAGCCGGTACATATCAATCAGCTCTCCTATGGAGAGGCTCCCTTGCGAATCAATCTGCTGCCTTGACCGAAAGTTTGCACTCCTAATAAGGTGGAGAACTGAATAGACAATCGTTGGCAAAGACAGCCCCGACTCCCCGAGGCCATCACAGAATGCAAGACCATCTATTTGAGCTGAACCACACATAACCGAGATACACCGTGCAACCCCAGCTTCCTGAAGGACCTGCGTTCGTCAGTAAATGCCTACAAGCTTTCGCAGTGCCCACTCTTACCCAGATACGACGAAACCACTTTCGCTGAAGTAATTTAATACAGGAATCAACCAGTCTTTTCGAACGACGACCATCTACAGATTTATCTCTTCGCACCTTGTTTTCCGCAAGGGATCGGATATATTCCAAAGCTATATCGCCGTCCTCAAAGGACTCCCCAAGCCAGATAATGACACGATCAGCTTGAGCATATATTTTCCGCATCAGCGAGATCTGTTTACTCTTTTCTGCGATATCTTCCTGGTTGATACAAATTGCGTCAACCCACAACATTCGGTCAAGATGGTGGTTTCGCAGGTTCACAAGCGCCGCATGGAGGTTGGGTGTGACATAGAAAATATGGTCATTCAGTTCAATTCGCCGAGATTTTGTGACATTATCTTCATCATTGGCCCATACATAGGACAATGCTTCGTAAAGGTGCTTTGTGCCACTCTTGTCCGACACGACGTAGTCGGAAAGCCTACATTTAATGCGAGCGCCAAGGTCCTTATGTGGCAAAATTCGGATGATGCGAGTAGCGTCGGGCTCTGGAGGAAGCGGTGGATAACTAAACCGGGACATTGTAACGAAAACGAAAGGTGATGCTCAAGATACACCCTCGGCGCAAACCTTCAAGTCCCTTAAGTGACAATAAAAGTTGGGACTTTGTCCGGACTCCGCTACGATCTTTTAAAAAGCCTAGAGCGGGAGGAGTTGAGTTGGTTCGGCTGCAGGGCGGGGTAACGATGGTTCATGAAGCACAAATGCGAAACGCACTGCAGGAGACACTGTAGCCTACCTTATGTTAGAGTGATCAGATTATGGACCCACGATTGGTGGGGCCAGCACCACACTTTGCTCAAAGAAGCACCTGGACTATTGGCCTAAAATGCCAACGAAGGAGCCAAGCCAAAATGGACAGGAACGTGAACCAGCTCGACAAGAATACAGAAACTTGGTGTCACCACTTAAGGCTACTTGGCTGTTTGGCAAAACCATTTAGCTCTTCCTATAGAGCTAATTATACACCCCCCAGTCTATTTGCACCCCCAAATTCATTTAAATCTTCAAAGACTGGGGCATCCGTAGCGCCCTAAAAACCCCGAGAAAAACACAATCTCATCTTTGTAGGATAACCGTGAAGATGTTAATATTAAAACGATCAGTTTTATGATCCTCATTTTCTAACTCCAAGGCCTATCTTGGTGGGAATCATGAGGCCTTTTATATTTGGCCTGTGATCGGTTTGATTTGATTTGGTTTATTCGTCCAGCTGTGCGCAGCCTTAAACTGCATGTAGCCTCCTTGCTGAGTTTCCAAACAGACAGTATTCCAAGCACACGGGTTCAAGCCAAGCTCTCCAGCACACACTATATCAATATAGATAGAGTTCTATAAGCTCTATAGGCAATGAGTTTAAGAAGGTATTTTTTCCAGTGGTTAGTTAAGCAGACGGCTCCAGACAGCAGTAAATAAGCGAGCGGAAGGACTCTTCAGATAGTAATAGCGACGGAAGATCCAGAGAGAAAAGTCTTCGCTATCCGTTATCCAAGGGCCCCCTCGAACAGGCATAGGTCAACTTCATCATAATGTAGCACGATAAGGCAACAGAACAAATCTTAGCTAATCCTTAATGTTGTTGACTGGTTCCGTGGGAGGTGAAAAAAGGGGGTTAATGCCAGCTGCAGAGGTCCATCTACGCTCCGTGACTCCTCTTGCCTCCTCACAGTTTTATTTTATTTTGCCGATGGTTTAGTGTCACTGCGAATCCCCGATAGGAGGGGGATTTCCCCAAGGTCACCATTGCCTGGTTCTCTATCAGTATTTGACAATTTAATGACATCAAAATAACTCACCGCTTTGCGGAGACATATCTAGCACGGTTATCGAGTATGGATATGGGTATCGGTAGGCTTCAAACGGGAATATTTCGTTAAGTTCGGAACTAAAGTTGAGACAGGGCACTCAGTTACCCCAACGGCGCTGGGTATTTATAGCAGGGTGTTTACTAGGCATAGTTAATCAAAGGAAAGACACCGTGTGCTGAGTTCCAATTGATTTAGCGTTATGCATAATGCGTCTCCAACCCTGAAGAGACTGACATTCTGTGATATTTGAGATGGCACATGCTAACTAGGTAAATCATCGTCGAGAATATCCGGTCGCTCCTGTCCCGACTCCCAGCTTTGTATCCATCCCTTTGGTCATTTCGGGGATCCAGGTTGATCTGGGAACGTTTCATGGAACGTTCGGAACTTGTATGGAGCAACATTGAACCCGTGCGCAGCATACCGGGCCGCGTCAGATTCACAGCCTTTGCATTGCACCTGGCACTGGAGCTTGTCATGGAGCACGCGTGAAGCACGATCTCCTCCATCTCTCATTCGTCCTCGTTGCGCCGAGTGACGTGAAGTGTGCTCATCGCCGCGGGAAGCAGTGCGGATGGTTCCACTGCTTTCCGAGGCGCGTTCAAAGCGTAATAAATTCTAAATTATACTTTATAGGATCCAACGGTACATGCTACTCTGGAAGGTCATCATCTGGGACATCCTCAAGTTCTCGTCCTGCCTCCCAACCTTCTAGCCATTCCGTCAACCTTTTGGGGGGACCAGGTTGATCTGGAAACACTCCGTGGAAGTTCTGAATCTTATACGGAGCACCCTTGAACCCGCGTGCTGGATACCAGGTCGGATCAAAATCATATCCTTTCCACTGAGCCTGATATTGCAGCTTTCCTCTCCAGATCCGTGACGCCAAGATTTGCTCCACTTCCCATTCTCGCTCGTCGACGGGGTTGAATATCGCTGGTGTGTGGATATTGTTTCTCGAGGAACATCTTCCCTTCTTTGATCTTGGAACATTTTTCGACCCACGCGTGGATGAAGGGGCCATCAGGTGGCGCGGCTCGTCATGAGCGAACCGAAATTGCGGTGCGTCGAGCTCATTTGGTGAGTTTGGCTCGAAAGAGAAAAAATACGAGGTCCCCAACGCGTGAGTCTCGACAGTAAGGATGGCATGCCCAAAAATATCTTGACTGCCGCAAGACTTTGCTGACTGCGTGGACGCTGAGCTATGTCGCAACGTCCCGGAAGGTCCGGAAGATGTACGGTTGGTCAATGTTCCCACAGGTCGAATTGCACGTTTACGTCTCTTCGTGAGACGCGGGCTCTCTTCCTGGTCAGAGCAGTCAGGATGGCGGTCACGCTGAACAACATCAAAGCCTGGTTGGCAGTTGCGGCGTGGTCGATTTCTCCCTCCAACAATTCGTGCTTGGGCAACTTCGAAGGACTTTCGCCGGGGCGGCTTTGTGATTGTGGATGGGGGTTCTGGACTGAGGGTAACACCTGCTACCTGGCGACGAGGCATCGGACTTCTCTGACGAACTGATGCTTTCTTTGACTCCGCGGAAAGGGAACTACCTGAGTCTGAATGGCGTTGGTCTTCTGGGCCAGAGCCTACCACACCGATCGAATGCAGTCGTTGATCGTTTAGAAGGTGGTCCCCCTGACTCAAGGCTGGCATTAAGATATTTTCCTTCAGCTGCAGTGGGCCATCGCCCAAAGCAACCCGATCATTTTCTCGCTCCCCGAGAGGCCTGTTGGCTACATCGTTCTGTGTCTGTGCTATATGGATGGACGGGGGAGTCCCGCACATATTTATGCTGTGGTTGTCGTGGTGCGGAATGTTTGAACAGCGCCCGTGGCTTACGCTGGGCTCGTCATGTGAGCCGCAAGGCTGTATGTCTGTGAGATTTAATCAGAATGTTGTACAAAAGGGGAGTGCTTAGCGAAAGCCCTTACCTCGGGGCTGATCCCGCTCCTGTAAATCCGGAAAGGGAGAGCATAAATGACTGTCGGGTTCTGTAGAGACCCTAATCCCTTCTCGACTTGTTGTACTTCCAAAGGGGCTAAGTAGATCTGTTGTTTTTGGGAGGCTGGAGAGAGAGGGAGACGAAGCCAGGGCTGCAGTGCGAACGTTAGCAAAACGACCAAACACAGAATACCGACCCCCCAAAGTCGAGACGTACAGAAAGTGGAGGCATCAAAGGTCTCGTTGCTGGTTTCTCCCTGCGTGAGTTCGTTGACCGTATGGGAATCTGTCGCCAGCGATGCTGCGTTGGCGCACCTGGCCAACTCGACATCAAATGTATTGAGCGACGCAGGACTGCATGAAGAATCCAACCCATAAGGATGGTGAAAAGGCAGAGCACCATCGCCGCGAGGGAGGGTTTTGCGGGCAGCCGCACCTGGGAGGATAGAAAGGGGCGGAAGAATCGGGGGGATAAGAAGAGCAGATTCTGACTGTTGCGATTTTAAGGGCTGGGGCCGGTAGAACTCGATATTGTCCAGATCTACCAAAGCCCTTCTGGGCGCTGGCTGGGTCATCATGGAGGGATGGAGGATAGATTTGGCAGAGCAATGGGAAGTGATTAGAGAGACGATGGTCGATAGTTCGCTCAGCTTTCGACACAAAGAAGGAGAGAGCCAGCTTTATAGCAGGGCTTTTGGGCATCCAACGAAGGTCTCGAGACGACCAATGGAACCTCCGGCAGATCCGTGGAGGATCCCTCGAATTCCAATACAGTCCAAAATTCGACCATCGCATGCGAGCGAATGCTAGGCGTCTCGCCGCCAATGAGCTCTTCCAACAGCGCCTCGGGATACGGAGTCCGCACGGGTTTCTCAGGTCCAGAGCCAGGAGTCCCACAGTCGGCTGGGCGGTGCGATGTCGACCAGTAGAGACTGTATGAGGCAGTGCCGTTAGTCGGACGCGTCATCGGCGTCGAAAATAGATAGGCTGTCTGCCTGGGAGGGGGAAACCAGCTGCGGGAAACGATCCCGCTCCTGTGCCCTTCCGTCGCCATACAGGGCGCAATCCTGATGGCTAGCAGCTCCTGAGGCATTTTTTTGATTGGCTGCTGTGATAACCTTCGGCGAGGCGCATCAAGAGGCTTCAACACCGATCTCCGGACGGCCATTCCGCGGGTCAGAGGGAAACTGGCCGACGGTGGTGGGGGGGATTTCCAAGGCTTATTCCTCCAACCACCGAAGTCGAAAGTTCAGAGGCCGAAAAAGAAAAGAAAAAGAAAAAGGTCCAGAACAAGGAAAAGCGGTGCAGTCGAATGCCTCGAGAGCAGTCGTTCAAGTCAAGGGGCCGTGAATCATGGTGTAACCATAGCCTGGTTGGATTGTTCCCCGATAGATGCATGAAACCCCCTCCTCTCCCCACTCTCCAGGCAGCAGCATTTCCTCCCTGCACCCCTGAGATCTTTCTCCCGAACGCAACGCGCGTTGAGCGCCGGAAAAGGGGGCTTGCGGCTTCCACAGAGCGAGTCAGAGAGCTGCGATCACGCCGAGGGGTGGAGACATCGGGTCGTGTGACGGTCAAAAATTTCACGGACGGACTGGTGCAATGGGGCCATTCGGCCGGCGGTCGGAGATCAGCGTTCCATCGTGGTACGGGGGCGAAAGAAGCGCGGCGTTGCGAAGGGAAGAAGGAGACGTTGTCGTCGAGCGACGCACTCGATGCTTATATAGTTGGGGCGGCCCAACGACGGGGCGGTGGACGGCGGCAGTTCCCGTTCGGGGATGGCGTGGCGCGCCAAACCGGACTGGGACACGCTAAACCGGAAATGGCGCGGTCACGCCGGCCGCTAAACCCCAACGGGTGGACGACCGGAAACGGCGGCGGCGGCCCAAATGGAAATTCTCCTATAGTAGTATTGGATTAGTATCTTTTGTTAAGTAATACAATTAACTTAAATATATACTTATCCTAATCGGTGTTTTGTTGACTGCGATTATTGTTTGATCTATATTTATCAATACTTCCAGTAACTGCAAAATGTTTTATCTATCGCTGTTTATTGAATTGTATAACAGCTGTGGTGGAAGTGCAGTACAAGGTGATTTATTGGTCTCTTATAGTAGGAAGCTCACTTGAGTATTATCGGCATGGCTGTTAATAGTGGGATACTTATAAATTTCATTTCTCACGAATGTGTTATGGAAAGCGAATACTCAATGTAACTGATCTCTTGCTATTCAGTCCTCTATTATTTAATATCCTCAACTCTTTTAAAAGAAAAAACAAAAATTAAGAAACAAAACCTTAAATGGGATATGTAGGTATCAATATATGGTTTCTTGATTATTAGGTATGGACTTATGTATGATTTATCCAGCTAGTATATGATTAGTGGGGTAGATAGCCTGCTAAAGTTCTGTCATCGTTAATATAGAATTTATTATTACCTTATTGTAAAATGTCCTAACATCTATTATCATTTTAACTATTTAACTATTTAACCGCTAGGGATAAAATTATCGCAAGTCTGCGATTATATTTTAAAACGAAGGTATTCTGGGTATTTTTAGCTAATATAATATATGTTAAATGTATTTCTAATCTTGCTACTCGAACGCTTTTGGAGCTTTTATTTTTTTAATTTTTAAAGGTATAAGTGTTGTCTCTTTTACTATATAAATTTTATAATTTTATTTTTTAAAGTAATTATAGCCGGCCCGAGTTATTATTTTAAAAATCTTTAAATAGAAAAGACTATACATATCTTCTCTTTTATATTTTTATATACCTATTTTGATTTATGAACTAACGATAGCTGATAATAGGTACCTTGAGATTAGATACGAGATATATATAATAGAGGCTTTGTATTAAATAGAAAATTGGTTTTTATAACAGTTATTTTAATTTATATTAAAATTAGGTTTAACTTCTCTGTAATTTCCTCTCTTATATAATTAAATTATAATCTTATATAAATTAATTATAATTTATATTATCTTTTAAATATTGTTTATTACTTTCTATAGAATAGTATAAATTTTAAAGTTCTATTTTAAATCTTATATTAAAGTCTACTAAGTATTTACAGTAAGAAAAGTTAATATCTATTTAATTATTTTTGTAAAATGTTTTTATAGATGTAAATAGTAATAATTTGGTTATATAGGTAAAGTAACTTAACTAAGTGTTTCTATTTAAAAAAAAATCCTAATTTAAAGATTTATTAAATAATTTCCGATATACTATTTTAAAATAAAATTATATTATTATTTATTTTAAATAAGGAAAATTTATTAGTATCTAGTAGTAATATGTTTTGATTTACCAGCTCTATACTTAGAAAAGGAATTATTTTTTTAATTTTAAAATTCTATGTCTGGTTAATCTTTTATTATGAGTAAAGTTTTACTATCTTTCGCTTTTTCTAAAGGAGAGTAACTATAGAGTTTAGTTATTTTATGGCAAAAAAAAATATATATTAAAAATAGTTTGATGTCGCGGAAATCTTAACTTCTATTTTAGACTATAGATGCAAGGTAGACTTTATTAAAGGCTAGTAATTTTTTAGATATTGTTTTTCTATATATTGTAAGATTTAATTATTAAGCTTTTTATATACTTGTCAGGGTGCGGACTCGGGCAGGCAGGCTAACAGAGCTAATACATAGGCAGGCTACAGGTCAGGCTATATACAGGTAGATAGACAAGACGTAGCTCGGAGAGCTACAGCAGGATCAGGATCAGACGGGCAGATATACGGTCAGGGGTCACGTGGAGGGCGGTCGGGGCTGGCAGAACGGCGATCCGGGATCGCACCGTGACAATACTATACATTTACTACCGAACTATAGACTTTTCAGTACTTTGTACTAGAATTCTTCCGTTACTTTAAAATAGATATAGAGAATATTATATTTATTATATTTATTTAAATAAAAAGAATACGTATAAGGTAAGTTTACGTTGTATATAAAAATTTAGTAAAACTTTATTTAGATACGCGTAGATTTCTTTATTTTAAAGACTGTAAAATAGTTTTAAACTTCTATCCGTTGCTTCTTTAATTGCGATTTTATTATATTAATAAAATTTATTACTAACCGCAACAGTAGTTAAGGATGTGTTGTAAAAAAAAATAAATATCTCTTATACAAAGTTAAAATAGTATACTTCTACTTGCTTATATAAGTATATATTTAATAATAATATATTAAAGAGAAAATAAGATATTTTCTAAGGATTAATAATAAACCTAGTACAATTTACGATTTATAAAAATAAAATTTATATTTATACTAATTTCTCTAGTAACTGCTTATTTTTATTATATTTACTAGTTATATAATAATTATATTTAAAATCTTAAAGAGTATATTATTACTCTAAACTAATAAATAAAATTATATAATTTATTATTATTAGACCTAGTGGCTATTAATTTAATAATTTCTCTTTAAAATATTATTGTTACGGACCCAGACTAGTGCGGCACGACCAGGATAATATAATGGCTACGATAACGATAAGCGGTGAAATGTTACCACTGGCAGAATATTACCGGACCTATGATATTCAGGCACGTGAATATCATCAGAGGAAGAATATTACGACCGCGATAATGTTAAGGGATTTTAACATTACCAGAACAATAATACTGGGAACCTTCGGTGTTAGCACGGTAACTCCGATCAAACGCAACCCTGGTGAACACGGACATACCCATTGTGTAGTATGTCTGACACAAACAAGCAAACGCCCACGGAAGTCACGTGAACAAATGGTATACACTCGCCAAGCAATGGTATACGAGTACCATCATGGTATATATAGACCACATGGTATACCATAGACCGAACTGGTACTCAGGGACCAAGGATATATAAGGACACTCATTCATGTACTTAGTTTAGTTCTTCGTGATCAATTTACAATTGTTACTACAGAGTTACCTTTAGTAGCACGACCAGTCTCAACTCGTTCGCACTCTTCTAACTACTGAGTATACGTACTTAGTAGGCCTGGCCCTTTGGACTCGAGTCTAGTATCGACGGCAGTCTTGTGTCGACTGCATCCCTGTGACGACGGCAGTCCAGTATCGACGGCAGTCTTGTGTCGACTGCATCCCTGTGACGACGGCAGTCTAGTGTCGACGGCAGTCTGGTATCGACGGCAGTCCCGTGGCGACTACCGCCTCCCCAAGACCGCAACCCAACAACGACGGAAGTCAAAGCACGACTTCAGGTTAGTAACCCTCGAAACGTGGTCCGCTAACTGGTCTCAGACTTGACGACGAAGCCCCGGGCGTAACAATTATATAGATTAGTAAAACCATTATTATTAAATAATATATCAAGATAAATATAGAGAGAATAGTATAACTATTTTTATATAATTGCTAGGAGCTCTTTTTATATATAATATATTTTATTTTTTTAAATATTTTATTTTATTATTTATAGTAATGGTTTTATTAAACTTCCAGTTAATACGCTTTGTAATATTTTTAAAAATAGATAATATAATATTGATATTATTTTCGATTTCTTTATATTTTAGGCCTGTCTTGTGGCCCTCTATAAGATTATATAAGAATTAAAAAATATCTTTAATTTTATATTTCTTTGAATAATATCCTAACTTTCTAGCTTTAATTTTTATTTAATTATAATTTTTCGCGACGATAAGTTTGTAAGTATATATTAGAAGATATATACTTAACCCTACTCTATAATATACTAATATATAGTAAGTATATAATATAGAGAATAATGTCAATAGATAATAAGAGTTTTATTGAGTTAAAAATCTATGATAGTTAATTATCTAATTTCTTAAGGTTATATTTCTTTTTTTAAACTCTGTTCTTTGTACAATAAATAAATATTAATATTGAATGTAAATATAACCTTGATTATACGTGAGTAATGTAGATTTATAAGGAAATAATAGATAAAACAATATAGTTTAAATATTTTTTAGTGTCCTTGTAATACCCAGTTTAAATCTTCAACTGATTTTAAGAAGTATAGAGATAGAACCCTGGTTGTGTATTACTAGTATTCCGCTTAGAAGAGTATGTGTTATACTATTTAGATAAAGCTAGATTTATTTTATTTTTCTATTATCAAGTTGTCTTATTTTTAGTAGAAGATATTTATATAATATCTCTATACTAATTAAGATCTACGCTATTATCTTTTCTGTTTACTAGTTTAAGTATTCTTTTATCCGTTGTGTTATTAATTTTGAAAAGAAATTTTATCTATTCTGGTACCTTGATTAAGATATTATATAAAATATATCTTTTAATATACTCGAAAATATAGCTATAATTTTTGAATTTTAGAATAGTGTAGTACTCGGAATACTAAATTTTTTCTTTTTTAATAGAATAGTAATTCTTTTTAATATATTTGTTTTTTATCTTTTTTGTACTTTTCGGTTCGATGTTATATTTTAAATAGAGATAGGATTAATGGGCAAGCGTTTTGTTTATATAGGTTAGGATAAATTCTGTATAGTTGTCGTAGAGATAGATATAATCTTTTTTAAAGTAGTATCTATTGATATGATTGCGCTATTTAGTAATATTTTTAAACTCTTTTTTATATATTTTAGCGGTGTATCGATAAAAATACTTTGAATTTATTCTTTTTTTAGGTATCGAAGTGGGAGTGAATATATTGCTAATGTTATTATAGTATAAGATTAACGCGCTTTTTCTTGATAATATATTAGTAATTGAGTTTATCTATTTGAAGGTAATAGTTTTATATGAAATTAGATATTACTTAATAACTATATTCTATTTTTGGTTATATTTATATTTTCTTTAACGACTGGGCGAGTCACGTAATAGAACGAAATTTAAATACTATTATTAGTGAAATAGTAAGCTGGAGTTTTTATTTTATATAATCCTTCGAGATATTGTAGCCCTCTAATAGCTGTTGGCCCCGATCTGACCCGCGCAACTCCTGGATACTCTACTTCTGTTGCTTGAAAATCAATATTAGGAAGCCTAGGTCTTCTACGTAAATTACTTCTTTCCTAGGGTTTATTATTTATTTTTATTATATTACCTCTACTAATTTAATACTAGCTGAAGATTTGTATTAGTTAAGTTAAATTACAGTTAGTAAGGCTGGACTACTCTAGCGCACACACGGGTGAGTAGTTAATATTTATTTAGGTAGATATTAACTATCTCTGCAATTTGGGGAGTAGGTTAGTAAAGGTATTTAGTATAGTATTAGTTTTCTTTGTTCAATTTCTTAACTCTTCTATCCCTAACTATAGCTAATAATAAAAAATCTTTGAATAGTTTAGAGTTAACTATCTTATTTAAGATTTAGGAATTTTAAATCTTTACTCGCGTAGTAAAAGATATTGTAAGTTTTCTTTATTTAATAACTTTTTATTTTACTAATCCTACTTAATATAAATAATTAATAATTATTTAAAATAAATCTCGGGATTAACAAACTAGCTTTTATCTTTTTATCAGACCCTTGTTAAAAAAATTAGAAGATTATTTAAATAAAATATTTCGATATCCAAGCGATAAATTTAATTTTTAAATTTTATTTTATACAATAGTAAAAGACTTTTTAATAATAATATAAAAGTATTTATATCTATTATAAAAAATTAAGCTCTTAGTAATACTAGAAGTTTTAAGATTTATATAGAAATTTGGGTTATAAGATCTTATTTATTTTATAATAGAGAAACGCTAAATAATAATATTCTTCGACGGTACTATAATAATTTAGAATGTATAGAAAATCTTAATATAATAAAATATAAAATTCTATTTTTAATATTATTATAATAGATTTATTAAAAATAAAAATAGCTTTTTTCTAGTTTAATAACAAAAAAATATTATTAAAAAATATAAAATAATTATAATAGTTGGAGCTTAAGTCTTTTAACTTTTATTTTAAATAATATTTATTTATAGTTATAGGATAATCTAGAGAATTATTAAAATATAAAAAAAAAAAAACTTTTTCGCTACTTATTATTTAAATAGAAGTAGAATAAATTAATTTATAAGGAACTAATACTTTCGTTAATCTATATAATAGTAAAAAGATTTTTAAAATTTATTTCTTTACCTTTATAAATTAATTATATATAGGTTCGAGCTTTATAAATAAAATTATATTAAAATTAAAGTATTAAATATATATATTAAAATATTACTATAATTTATAATTTAAAATATTTTATATAAAATTTAAATTATAATTCTAAAATTCTATAAAAGAAATATTATATTATATTAAATAGTAGATCCCAATTCTCAAGAATCCAAGAAATTACAAGTTAATATCTAGTTAATAATATCAATATTATTAGACGTTTTTACTAGAACGTCTTTTAATTTAGAGCTTACTCTATTCAAAAATATATCTATTTTAGCCGATTTTTAGCTTTTTCTTTTTATAGAATTAAGTAGTAGAAGTAGAGTTGATATTATTAATAATTTTTTTAAATCTATTTTTTCGGTCGACGATATAATTGTTTTAGTTAAGTTCTAGCTTTTTTTCTATAGTATTGATAAAAGTAGTACTGGTCCTATATTAGCGTTAACTTTAGCTAGATTTAGGAATATTAAATTAATATATATAAATAATTATACTAGATATTTTTCGGCTATATTTAGATTAAGTATATCGAATAATTCTATATTTACGATATTTTTAATATGATATTGTGTAGTAGATTAGTATTAGTTATATTAATATAATATATCTTTTTATATATCTTTCTATAATCCTAACTCTATTATACTCTTTTAAGATACTATACTATTTTTAGTAAATTTTACTATGGGAAACTTTGCGAAGATATAATAAAAGGAATTAGATAAAATAATCTATTTTTTAAAGTAGAAGGGATTTAATCTAGGAATAAGGTAGAGACTATTTAGAATTTAAGATATATTTTCGATAATATATACTAGTATTATATAGGTCACTTTTTCTAGTATTTTTATATTTTCTATTATTTTCCGAACCTGTAGACCAAAGCTCTTTAAAAAAAGAGATATTTTCAATATATATTTAATTAATATAGGTTTAAGATTCTTGTTATTATTGTATATAGAAGTGTATTGGCTATTTTCTTACCACTTTATATTTAGAAAAAACTTTACTAGCTTATCTATAGTATACTTTTTATACTATAAATAATATAAAATAATTTTAATAATATAGGATATCGACGGTATTTATAAAGGGAAAAAGGAAAATCAGCAGCGAAATAATATAGGGCGTTTATTATCTATATTTGTAGTCAAAAGATCAAGAGATATCTCGTGTTTCTTTTTTATATATCTATAGTCAAAGTAAAATATCTAACAGTAAATATCCTTAAGTATAGGAAAATATAGGGTGTTTACTGCGCGACTTATATTAAGAAATTGTTAATAGAGTGGAGGGGCTTTCTTTTGATACCAATAGTAATATAAGGTTCTTAAAATACTACTAGCACACTTTGCAGCTTTAGACATCAATATAGTACCCTAGATACTTATCAGAACTTTATTAAATTATGAAACTGATTGGAGCTGAATTTCCTTATATTTCTACGAAAGCAGTCCTTATATACCATCGCAATACTTTCGTCGAGTTTTTTATTTATTACTTTTAAATTGCTACTAAATATTTAATTTAATTAAAAAAGAATATCTATTATATATTCCAATATAGTAGTTTGTACAAAGTATTTACTACTGGCTCTATCAATGGTATATTATTATATAGCTTATACATAAATTAGATACTGATTAGTAACTAGTAAAATAAGTAAGAGAAAGGTCAGGAACTAATCCAGAAGATAATAAATTTAAACCCAATTACTAATTGGGTTTAGAGATAGGTTTTTGGTCTAGAACACTTTTTTCACCTGAAACTTAAGTAAATTTTTAATAGGGCAGAGCTGCTCCCTATAGTAGTAATAAATTCTATACACGTATTGTGTCTTATAAAAGTAATAATAGCTAATCCATATTACTAATACCCTATATTATAGAAAGAGGTTATTATTCCTTTATATCAACACTTAATATAAGGAAGACCATAATACAGTAATTAGACTTTTATTAGCCTTACTGGATAGTTTTGACCTAATCAGCAAATATCTAGAACCATTTATCCTAGTATGTCTAGTCGAAGATTAGGTCTCCGATAAGGGTAGCTTTCTAAGGTTTATCTCTTTATCGTGCTAGCAATGGTAACCGTGTTTGCTATTAAGATATATCTACCTAGTTAATAGATATCTGTAATTCCATGTATGATAGTTTAGCTGTAATACTATTATAGGGAGTGGTTAATTAACACTTATTTTCTATAAACTATTACTAATACTTATAAGGCTTTTAATTATAAATCTCTATATATAGTATTCAATCTATATAACTAGATCTACAGCGAAGGCTATTTTCGCTTAACTATACCTGGTCTAGAAGCTGGATTTTACTATATTTGGATATCTTATATATACTATTATTAGATAGTAGAATTAGATTATTTATTTTGGAATTTACTCTACGCAAGTTCCTAGAATTTAGCTTATACTATATACTACTTAAATAACAGTTTATTAATATATTTTATATAGGGGGCCGTCTATAGAATACTCTATATCTTTACTTTATAATTTAATAATTCTATATAAATTTTTTATAGTAAATACTTATACTATATATATCTCTAGGAGATATAAAATATAATTTACTGCTTCGTCTATATATATTTACTATTTTATCTCTTTACTATTGAATATTATTATAATATTTTAATAATAGAATTTTTTACTAGGGCCGATAGATAATTTAAAAATTTAATTTTCTAAATTATCTAATTTTATTTCTTTTGTACATAGGACGCCGATATATTTAATATTATTTTAATATTAACTTCGAGTAAAAGTTTAAACGATATTAATAATTACCTTATCTTGGAATACAGTAAAAATAAAGGTTTATATAATATAGATAGTAAACAATATGCGAATCTTATTATTAATAAATATATTAAGATTGGAAATAGCAGTACTTCTCGATATATTATCGTTAATACGAATATAAAAAAAGGATCGAGTCTTATAAATAGAAATATATCTAATAATACGTTTTTAAAATAGTGTAAAAGAATATAAGTTATTATATACTAAGCTCCTATATATATAAGGTGATGTAAGAAAGAGCTATTTGTTAATTTCATAGCTAAAGTTATATTTTAATTCTCAGGATGTTAGACTATTCAATTTCTAATAGGGTTTTTTTAATAATTTATCGTTAGCAATTAACAGTTATATTAAATAAAATCATTTCTCGGTATATTCGATGGATAGATCGCTTTCTAAGAAAAGGTTCTATTGGTCAGAAACTAACTTCGCCGTCACTGAGTTAAATATACTTTAACGTAAAGAAACTGGGCGTCATAGCTATGGAAAGGCCAGAGCTCGTACTTGGCTATAACGTTTGTATATATTAACTCTAAATAGCCAGTGTATTGTAAATAGACGGTGGGAAGGTGTATCTAGGAAGAAGAACTCGAAGTAAATATGTAGATATGCAAATACCTGTTCTATGTCTATATATGTATATATTTATGATGCTGCATGACTTCATCCTATGCTTCGCTTGGAAAAAATATAGATAGAATATGGACTTGATGAATTTAGCTGCAATTATGCCTAATTTTAGAGGTGTCTTTTTGCGTTTGTTTGACCTGCAAGGGTATCTATAACTGATGCTTGTTTGTAATTTTTGCTTTCTAATAATTTCCAGCTAATCTTCGATTATAACCACATATGCGCTCTCTTGTTCATTTTCAGGTGGGTTCTTCACGCCCGATACTTCGCAGGTGTTTTTTAAAATGCTCTCGCGCTTTCCGAGAAGTTGAAAAGTAATACTGGTGATGCTAGTTGAATATATAGAAGAGGTAATGCTCACAGTCATTCTCGAAATCGGTTTGACCTGCAAAAATTTGATGATTATATTAAAACCCCACTTCCAAAGTCTTAGCCCCACGAAAATATTGACCGAACCGCAATAAATTGAGGTGTATAGTCCACATGAAACGCTAATATTGGCTGGAAAAAACTCTACCTAAGTTATCCCAATACGTACGCTCATATCTTGGTAGCTTCCCCAACTCTCATAGATATTGATGTTCCCCAGTCGTCCTGACATTGGAGATCCAGCTCGATCTGTGTGATTTTTGCATTATTCAGGAAGAAATCCTAGGGAAAAAAGATAAATCCAGCCCTTTAAGTACACTTTCCTGCATATTTATCAGGGAAGAAAAAGACGAAGCCTCACATGCACGCCAGTGAGCTGGCCACTTCGGTGATTTGAAGGCGTGCACGGTCTCTACCAGTTCGTTGTAATTCAGATTTATAAAGGGAGGTCGAGATTGTGGAGAGAGTAGAGCACTTGAATGCATTTGTTTTGTAAGAGCTCCGAGTATGATTGAGCTATACTCAAAACAGCACCCGCGACTTTCACTTATAAAAGAATCACGTAGCTTGGTAAATGAGGAAAGTATAAAATCAATTGTATCATATCTATGCATATTCATTTTTTTTAGGCGATTGTTAATATATTCTCTCAGATTAAGATTTCCAGGCCTTACCTATCACTTGTTCTAGAATTGGTAACCCAAGATTTATTATACGATTGCTACTCTGTGAAATAGCAATTAATATATATTTTTTAAATTTATATAATTATCTAAAGACTAATAACACCTATACCCAGAGTATCGAATCGCGGGAATATATTATAGAAAGATTAACCCTTAAGCTTTCGATCCATCTGTCTGCGAAATATTGAACTAAAGCTTGGCACTGGTAGTAGTCTGCTAATATAGTAACTTTAGCGAGCAGTTCTAGACTTATTTCCCGCGGTAATTTTTAGGGCTGTGAATAAAAAATATTCATTAAAATTAAGAAAGTCTTAAGATCCCAGCCGCTGATAGTAATCTCGACTGCTTCTTTTTTAAGTAGATAAAACCCTTCTTTCTAACTCTCAGTAAGTGCTTTCTTAAACACAGGCGAGGCTAGGATTAAGTGTTTTGCCGATATTTAAATACGAAAAATCTGCGTTTTCACATGTTTCTTATTTTAAGATTTAGATATGGTAAGCTTGGTTTGTTTACCGCCACTATTTTCCAATTTATTATAAAGAACAATACTTGTACATACCTCTTCAAGTTGCTCTTCGAAGATGATAGGGTCCTTAGCAAGATGCCCTTCAGCAGGAGGCTTTTTAGCAGGCGGTTCTTCAACAGGCAATTCTTCAGCAGGCGATTCTTCAGCAGGCGGTTCTTCATGATTATTCCAAGGTGCAAAGTGATAGTCTGGGTATTCTAGAAGTATATTGACTTCGCCGTCTGGGTCAAGGATATAGGTTTCCCAGCTCATAGAGATACTATCATATGGCACTAGCCATTTAGAGATAGATTAAAATTCAAAATTTTAAATTATCAATATTACCATACATACACTTACTAGTATTCAAATCTAAATTTTAAGAAAATCTAGTTAATCTTTCATTACTCTCACAAACAGTATATTCGAATTTGTAATGATCTAGTACCTCAGTTTACAGTTCAACTGAGCTTAGTGTAAACTTTACCTCCAAAATTATAACGACCGCGTCGGAAGAAGACACAAACTACCATTTTAAGATAATAGGAAGATACTGTTCACACTTTCAAGAGAAGATTCAGAATTTAGTTTTCCTTGAATAATACAAATCTGAGAATTGAAATAAAATGCTGGTCTAGAATGGGGCCAGTTTTAGGTTGTTGGGCTTTTTTCTCTTTTCTGCCTGTGGCACTGTTTATTATTATTGATCACCTGACCTTGCTGCTAGGCCTTAAAATAAACTGCCACGTAGCTATACATATGTTGTTGTTTGTTTTGCTATATTAGGTTGAAAAAGTAGGGCTACAAGACTAAATAACTTAACTGTCCGATATGAATAAGAAGGAGGATTTGACCTTCAAAAAGCTTTCGACTTTACTGATCATATTTGTTCTCAGTGATCGTTAAGATTAGTGTTCCTGTACATTCTATGTAGTATGTACCACTAGAAATTATAGTAGCCCTCGGTTAAGAGCTGGTAGCTCAATAAATCATTTAGGCTAAGGTCTTGGCAGCGGGGGGGAAAGATACTCATCATATGTTTGTGGGTCAAACTGATTTCGAGAATGACTGTATTAGTGAGAGAAATAGAAGAAGCACGAGGTTCTGGAGTAGATAGATCTTTATCTGGTTGGACCGAGATTACGGACATCGGATTGGTAGACTTAGTCAGATCTTTTCTAGATTTTCTCTCTGATGGTATTTTTACTATATGGCTGAGGCCAATCAGCGTATTTGCCAGTGCAAGCTGGTTGTCTAGAGCTTCTTTCTTTGAGAGGTCTTTCGTAGGGGGTCTCATCAGGTCTGCTACGCGTCTTTACTTTTCCAGCTTATGAACGACAGATTCGGGGCGATATTCATTGTCTTCGATCCTAAAAATTTTGAACGCCGTTCAGGTTTTTCCGGATTCCGTGTTGAGCATGGCCAAGATTTTTTTGGACCCGTTCAACTGTGACCCGTATTTTGGCTACGACTCTGTCTCTATTTATATCCAGATATTGTTCCGAACATCAAGGGCAGCCATATCAGTCCTGTTTGTATAAGATCTTGAAATTGGCCCTGGTTCCTACCTTAGCTAGGCCAATATCATACCATTCGTATACTGATTATCGTAAGCCAAGATTAAATTTTTACAATGGCAAAGTTCCCTACTCATCCAACCGGCCCACATACATTGTTGAACGATTGGCTACATCGTCTTAGCATTCCCCCACCAGTCACAAACCAGGCAGTTCACAGCCGTTATGTTGAAATGCTGCTGGAGACAGAAAGAATTCCCTTACTTCATAATTTGATTGCTTCGGTGTCTACTTGGCTCCTGCTGGCAGGTTATTTAGTCTTTCCAGGGACATTTGTGACCTTGCGTGAATCTCATTTGGTCGCACAGATGGCTGGCAAAAGCGAAGCTGCGACCTTGATGACCCATGCGATTAATAATCCTCCTCTGCTCGCATTAGCCACCATCTCCTGTACATTGGGCACAGTGGGCTGCGGATGGCTATGGTGGCGGTGGCGCACCAACTATATTTGGCCGCCGCAGAGAATATTTCTGTATGCAAACCCCACCACAGATTGACGTATATTCTTCGAGCTAATATATTGCTACGGAAGACCAGCGCTGCTGCATTCTACTATGGGTTTTGTCAATACGATTCTCAATGTCTATACGGCTCGGCATGGAACATGGTCCATAATGGCAATTGTATCAACTGCAGTGTCGGGCTCTTTTACAGTCACCACATCGGTTATATATATTATTATCCAGTGTTATATTCTTCGCAGAATCAAGCGCGAGCATCAATCTGTTGTTGAAGGTATTTCTCCGGTAGCGCCACGGCCCGAAAGTTCTAGTGGAACAAGTAGTTGTGAATCGCTCCGAAGTGAAGTGGTTACAGAACAGTAATTGGAGTCTCCATGGGGTATTTTAAACCCATCGGGCAGGTTAAATTGGATTTGGTTAAAGGATATATAGACTTATTTGTATGATATTCAGACAATCAGATTTGGATAATGTTAAGTGTTGATCTGCTTAATTTCAAAAGAGAGGGAGAATATATTCTGCGGTGGGCCAAGCTTTGCCGTGTTATGAACTCTTATTATATAATATCTATGTATATTATTTCTCTGTAATGCAAAGAGAGCCCATTTGATAGATACTTCCATTTCTTACTATTATATGTAAGGCTAACTTTCTAACTAGCAATCTCGCTTCACTGTCGACAGTTCCCACGCCGATGGCGGATAAACGAAGTGCGGCTGTGAATTCGATAGTTATGACGAAGACCTCCATGCCGTAGATGGCTGGTCTCGGTATCTGCGAGGTTATTATAATTGGTACTCATGGAATAGCGCTAATCGAATAATGCAAGTGGATGTTGAGGTCCCTACCTGCCATTAATGGTAACCACTCATAGCACACTTCCAGTCTTTGATCTATCGAAGAAAGCCGAACCATAGCCTCTTGTACCACCGGTAAGCATTGCCTGGTGATGCCTGCTTCACTCGCTGTTCCGTGTGATGATAAGAAGACTAGCAGGGCGTTTATACAATTTGCTCGCTGTTCTTGGGTGTTGATGGCCATATCAACCCCGATTGCGTCTCGGTTCTCGTTCTCGGGAGCGCGTATTATGGATGATTCTCCGGTGGAGGGGGTGCCTGCGTACGACCAAGTTGGCGGTAGGGTGAAGCTGTTATCGGTCACTGTTAGCAAGAGATCGGAATACATGCACTGTATTAGGCTACTTGCCCTGCTGCAAGGTTTGATAGCCAGAAAGGGAGAAAGACAATAGAAATCATAACTATTAATATCATGATCTATATACACCTGATGGGTTGGACGACAAGATCAAGAATATATCGCAAGGGTATTGTTCTTATAATATAGCTGTCTCTTTTTAGATTATTTAAGTTAACCCAGGGCCCTACGAAGTATTAGTTCGTGCTGTGACCTACCTAACACCAGCACCAATAGATGCGTGTATCACCTAGGGACCGATGTAGTCAAGGCAACCATAAATTATGCGATACACATACGGAACATGGTATGATATAGAGTTAGACTTACCGGATATCTCCTTCTACATTGCAGATACTAAATTTCATTATCATACCTCCTCTCAAATCTACCTTTGTATCACTAGCATCTGATTATACTCATAGCGCAGGGGGGAATTAGTTAACAAAGTGCTGGGCCTATTTAGGCAGTATCAACATCAAGCTAGAAGTTTCATTGTGCCTCGAGTAAAACGATAGTGAATCGTTATTTAATTATTTCCTGGGGCTGGAACAACCACAGGGCGGTCGATAAAAGCTTCCGCAGTGGCTAACATCAAATTACAATCAGACATTAAGCATAGCCTTACTGCACAGTCTGCACCGTATATTCTTTTGGGTAGCTCGATGAGTCGTTCAAGCTTGTATATTCTGTGAAGCTGTTCAGGGATAGTGCTTCTAAGGTACGCTAACTAGTAAGGTAAAAGACCACAGCCTGGTTGTTCCTTGTTGGCCAGATTATTCGGTTCGAGGCACAACCAGTGGCAATTGTACTTTGGTTGAGCGGTAATATGCTTCAACATCCCTCAATTACAACCTCGTACACTCAATATATATAGCCGCTATATATCTTTTTTTTCTGGAGGTCTGTTCCAAATATCATCTAGTACCACGTTCTTCTTATAGTTATAATCCTTTACCGGATACTTTGAGAGACGATAACTGCATCAGCAAGACGAGTTCACGACAATGGGATCATCCTGGTCAGATGCAGAGCTTGTCACCACGGTTTACTTTTGCTCGCGTGGGTTCACCGACAGTGCTGTGTCCCGGGTACTCAGCATTCGAGGATATTGCCGTACACCCCGTGCGATTCGCCGCAAGATCGCCGATACGTTAAAACACTTCTCCAGTCTACAACTAGCAAGTGGTAGTTGGGATATAGACGAAGTGGATATGTGGCTGGACAGCCTCAGCCTAGATCATGAAACTGTAAATCACCTTATTGCTTGCAATCGCCTTGATGCGTATATTGCCGACGAGGTTCGTGATACTTCAATGGCAGAAATTGTGACACACTAATAGCCCTATAGCATGGGATCCTGGGTTTTGTCTTGGAGAATTTAACATCTCAGAGCCAGCGCTGGGACTGGGTTGTTTCTCCACGAGCTATTGAGGGATAAATACTGAAACAAAAGAAATATTATGTCAAGGGCCTAAATTGGGATCATCTTGAAGCCTTATTGATCTTATTGCTTGCTATCTAAACTATCTAAGCTCAGAAAGCTATTCATTGTGGGATTGCTTAGCGGCTGGAAGAACCCACTTTCTGGGCCTATCGGCTGCCAGACGGAATCCCTTAGCCAACATATCAACTAGGTAAGGATACATTGGGTGGAAGAGAGGAAAATATCTATTATTGACTCAATAATGGAACTAAAGACTGCTGAACTGATTCTCCTCTCTTTTTCTGGCTGCCTAAAGATAACTTATAGCTCCCCATGGTCCTGGCAGAATACCAAGAGTACGATAGAGCTGATCGGTCAGGCAAAGTACGTCGCCAGGCCGGCTGGAGACTGGCAGATGGGTGTCCATAGAGATATAGACATAATATCAGGTTATATAGACGCATTAACAAGGAATGCATATGCCAAGGTAATATATAATCAAGCTACTCAGTGGCAAGTTGATATAAACGGACCATTACCATATAGATCTGTCTGTAAATGCACTGCCAATAAAGATACCTACCATAGGAGCGACTAGAAGGACAGGAAACATGGTTCCGAATACAAAAAACGCTAATCAAGCGGAATAATCTTTCCAATTGATTCAAATCTGACAGTAAAGATACCTGCCACCCCAGCACCGGCAATTGCCCGACTAAATATTATTGTGATAGAGTTCGGCGCGGTCGTATAAACGACTGATCCCAGTTCAAAGAGGTGAATAGCCAAAAGATAGACAATCTTAATTGAAAAAAAAGACTGTGAAGGTGGCTGTATAGAATCTGGAAGACATCAATCATAGGTACGAAAGTGGCTATCCACCGGTCAATACAACGGGTGTCGGTTGCCAGCGTTGGGGCCACAATCCCAACAATTGTTTGGTCCTTTAGAGAAATAATATTAATATCGGGAATGCTGCTTGCCGGGAAAGGGACTCTTACTATAGCTGCTAGAAATAGAGCAAGTAATAACGCTGCCACGACCACCCGGAGGCCATGATTGTCTTGGAATGAGGGAAGTTACGCGCTCATGGTTCAAAGGGTTGCACAGAGACTGACTAAGGCTGAAAGGTAAAGAAGCAGGCAAATATAAAAGTAAACACTCTATTTATTAGAGATTGATTGGGCTTACTTCCTGCTTTAACATCTGCTTTTATTACCAATGATGGAACTTATTTTTATAGTCATGTCTATTACGTCTTCAGGAGCTTTTACGTAGCTTCTTTCATTCCAAGTTAGATAGTCTTGGAATTCAGAATGGTTTAGTGTACAACGCGTAGTACACTAGTTATGAATAGAGCTTAGCGTACTTCTATTTAAGGAAAGATATTCTGTGTCGCTATAATTTTCTTGGAATGCGGTATGCTAACTTGGCAGCACAATATCTGGTAGAAAATAAAAGAGGGGACAGTAGACATAGTGGCTATATAGTTGGTTATCCTAATAATTATATAGCAGCAAATCCCAACTGTAGCCTCCAGTCGTGGATCATGGGTAGGTAAACTTTTGTATTGAGCTGGTTCTGGTCTGATCTACCTTGGAAGATATTTATGAATTAGGTAACCGCGGTATATATCCTATAATAAAGATTCACTCGCAAAATGGGTAGGTATACAATGTAATATTAATAGTGCAATATAACTATCTTGCTGCCTCTTATCAATTACCGTTGCATGGTTGTTTGGCTTGGCTGGTATTATTATTATATACAGTACTCCGTGGATAGATTTATTATTTACTATCTACTTTATATTCTCTAATCTTAGATAGTTATATGACAGGACTACTATAATCTATGCATTGCTGTTCATCAAGTATTGCGGATATATTATGGATTTATAAAAAGTTCCCTTGTTCAAGTTCTGCGGAATCACACCCTATTTTGCGATGTTTACTTGTCCACTGCTGCGCAGGTCTATCTATCTTATGTTGCGGCTCGACCTTATGTAATACTAGTTGCGCTACATATTCTGTATCTTCAACGCCAATCTTGGTGGTACACAGCAATCAAAAATAAATTGGCTCATACATAGGCTGTCATGAAGAACCCATGAGGATAATATAAAGGAGCAACACCTCCTCTAGATCTCCCCCCCCCCCCGTTGTAGGACCGTCTTTGGGAAGCCTGGCAGATATTATAGTTTATATCTACCGCATCATGTTGCCTGTCCTTGTTTCACTACTAACTATTCTTATTTGGAGGGTATCACCTGTGCTGAGGCAAGTTGAGTCAAGAGCGCATTCACTGTTAGGATACTAACTAAAGTAGTAGCTGTGCTCTACCAACATCCGATGTTGGACCACAAGGCAGTGCAGCCTCCGCCGAACATAATCCCACATCTACGCTTGATGCTGGAAATAATATACTGGAACCAACTGATAAGGTGTCGGTTACGAAGACCGATGATCAACGTGTGCCCCCCCCGGGGCAGACATACTCTCTCTCTGAGCGACCTTCCATCTCAGATGTCCCCGCTTCGTCTTTGTCTTCCACACTAACATTACTCCCCTCTCCATCTATGCTGCCAGCTTCGCAGACATATAATAATTTCGTCTCCAATGCGACGGCCGACGCTATTTTTACTGATTCAACAGCCACTATACGCTTATTCATCGTCGATGTTGGGGCTGAAAAGGGCGGTATTGATACGGAACAATCGCTCTTTCGCCCACAGTTCATCAATGCAGCACCTGGTGACATGGTCCTGTTTCGGTTCTATGGGGCGTACGCACTTTACAGCTCTGACTTCCAAGATCCCTGCCATGCACCGCGACTAAGCCAAAATGCTGTTCCAACAAAAGATAAGATTCCATCACACCAGGTTTCGGTCCAGTCTACAAAGCCACTTTGGTTCTCGGCCAGCTTAATCGATAAACCACATCTGTGTAATAATGAGACTGTTTTTGCGGTTAATCCCGGCGATCAGAAGGAGGACTTCTTGGCCAATGCGTCCATGATCTGATATACTAGCCTACACATTTGTTAAAAGTCATGGGGCCAGAGAATCACAATCATGCTATCCTGCAAGAGTATAGAGTATTTCGCTGTGCTTGGAAGGTTTGCTATTATTGACAGGACTCTGCTACAAAATCGGCCTTGAGGTAGATAGATATACTTCCTATCAATAATATATTCTCCCTATTTAGTTCTGATAGTAGATACGGACAGTGGAAATCTCATTAATCTATTCATTTACTATTTAGATGACTAGGCATTTGACTACCTTAAGGACGTTATACCTACCCCCGCCGTTTACCCGCGCTTGGTTGAATTTACTCACTTTAACATCCAGAGCACTTCGCTATGAATGTATTAACTGCAGCTAGGACAAACCTCTAACCACCTCCGAATTTAGTACAACTACACTCAGAGTGGATCTAACACTAAACTATATACGTACTTCTATAAGTAGATTAAAACATCGTGAAGCCTAGTATACTGATAGCTGATAATATAAAAGCGGGAGAAGAGCTTGCTATGATTGCCTCTTGAATAAGTATTTATATCAGTGCTGTTTAATTGATATTCTAAGTATAAAACAAAAAATGCAAGAATACTAGCGCGGTGCGTATACAGATATAAAAGAAACAACAACGAGCTACTTTGAATATAGAGAGAGTTCTACTAGTGATAAAATAAATCTTATTAAAACTATGTACTTCTAGAAAATTGCCTCCCGCTTTGACAGCTCAATCTTCTGTCATGTTATTCACTCACCTTGTGCATCATCCTCCCTCCGTGTATTATCCTCATCCTATTTATTATCCCTACTTTCGTCGTCTCAATCAGGGTCAACATCTTTATTAGTCACTTCACCATGGTATACCAAGACTATAAAATACTATAGTTGCACTATATTGATGCTGGGTAAAGATAAAAGGGATAGAAATGTTGAATGTCCATCACTCATCGAGGCAGAAGCTCTTGACATCCAAAAGATAGAGAGGTGCAATGACGATGGTCAACTAAGGTCCATGTCATGCGCAGTCCATCGAAACACGCGTTTAACAAACTTCCACCACAGGCCCGGTGAAAGTGCCCTTTGCATGGGTAATGTAGTACAGGATACCGAAGAGAACCGTCCCTCCAGTAGGTGCGATAGCCCAATTCATTGACGACACGTTGACATGTACGTCTGAAGGCCAAAAGCTGAATATAACAGCAATGGTCAGGTAACAAACCGTGAAAGCGTTGGTTGCAATACCCCATTTTCGTGGAATATGAAAGGGCCCCCAAGAAAGGGGAGCGCCGGTTGTGTTAACTACCAGCATTGTGTCGCCACAATGTCGAATTCCGCCTGTAAGGCGATGGTAAAGCAGCAGCGCAGCAGCTATGAGATAGGAAGAGAACAGAGAGCTAACAGTCAATGACACCACAGCATTAAGAACAGCTTCAGACCACAGGATTATTAAAGATAACAAGAGCGCAGCGATAACAATCGCTGTAATAGAATAAAAAGGAATTCTCCTAGAGTCCACCTGAACCTTTCTTATAAGTACTGAATACTCACACGTCACGCTTGAGACTGCAGATACTAACCTTGCTTAGTAGTATCCACCAAGGTGTACCACGGTCTCGAGAGAAGGACCATACCATCCGTGAGGCTGCGGCCAGATTTCCTGATGCAGTAGCAACCCCTGAGATAGGCACAATAGAAGCCATGGCGATACTGCCAGGTATTGACCCTGTCGCATTTAGAAATATCTGTATATATGGATATCCCGTAGGGGAGTTGAGGACATGGTCGACATCCTGTAGATTGAACAGGGTAACCAAGAGTATGCCAAAGCCCAGTGATCCATTCAGGACAATACTCATCATGATGGACCGCGGTATGGTCACCGTGGCATTTCTGGTCTCCTCGGTCATCTGCAGGAAGTGCCATCCAGCATCAGCTCCAAAGTCTGCATGGAGAGGATGAAAGCACTAGCTACTCACATGAATAGCAGCGTCACAGCCTGTGAAAGCAAAATTACTGCCCAGCATCCCAACAAAAAGAGATAATCCAAGACTCGGCCAACCGCCCTCGTTATTGAAGCTCCCAAATACTTCATTGGCGGATACATGGTCGCCTAGATATGAGAGTGGTATTAGGATGACGAAAAACCCAGCAATATGCAAGATGAGGACAAATCCCTCAAATTTAGGCAGAAGCCTCCCTGTGCCAACATTGATAAACATCGCAAAAGCAACGTAAGCCCAGTAAAGAAGCATTACCTGGTAGGGTTGAGGCTGGAAAGCCGTATGTGTTATAGTAACAAACCCCATGATCTGAGAGCTTGCCATATACACACCTGAAGCAAACGCTCCTAGCCAACCCAATATTACCAGCCACGCTACCGATTAAATGAGTGTCTTTGCAACGTAGTTAAAGATATACAAGCAACCAGCATTGTGTTAATTTGCTCACCTGTAATAAAGCTAAGGAACTTATGGCACCATCGTGGCGCTAAAATTGCGACCCAATGATACTGGCCGCCGGAGGTCGGTGCCCTGTATATCCATTAGGTCTCAGATAGCTGGTGAAAATGGAAGGGTAGCCTACATAGATACCAGCTCGGATAGTGTAGCAAGGGTGCACAGCGTGCTGAACCACACAAAGAGGTAGGTATAAACCGCACCTGCGGATCCCCCACTAAACAATATATTAGAATGACTACCACAAATTCTTGCTAGGCGGAGAGTAGCACTTCTTCAGTGGAAGAATAAATGTCCTTAAGGGGTCAGTAGACTTTTCGTCCATGAATGTGGGAGAAGTATTTACGAGAGAACACCTTCCCAAGTTGCCAGGACAGTACAACTGAATCCCAAGATTGACAAGAATCCAAATCTCCGCTAACTCCATCATCAGTGACTCTTATATCTCTAGTAAATTAATCTCACATGCTCTGAGCTTCGTACCTGTAAACTGGGTAACTTGCCAACACGTGCTAAGTCTCGATTGTCATTCACGTTATTTGAAAATGTCTGTTGTCCCAATTCTGGAAGCGGTATCCGATCTTCGCATTTATATTGCTGCTTATCCATTGTAGCTGTACGTGTCTATTAGTAACACGAGTTCTATGATCGTATATACCAAGGGGATTGAGGGAAGCAATTTTGTCTGAAGCTGAAGAAGATACCAGGAGCGATCCAACGAACCTATTCCTTAACAAGAAACACAGGATGTAGGTTGCTTGTCTCGTCATTGCCTCTGGTAATGACGCAGGATAGAAGCGGTCTCCCCAGTTAAAGTTTTTGGAATGGTATATATATGGAGATCTATTAACGGAATATTTTCGATACAAATATATTACAGGTAAGGAGTATTATTACCATCATTCTTGACCCACTGAGATATTTAGAAAATCGTTTCCTCTGGAGATAGTGCCTTTGTGGCGCTCCAGGCCCATCAGCTCTGGTGGATCGCAAGAACCACGAGGTAGGAAGCGAAAATATTCTGCCGATCCCTGTGGATATACAAATTTTGCCAGCCGCCTACAAAATATGTTTGGCGGTGATTTAATACTTTTGCCACTGCGGGTAATAGTTCCACTTATTTGCCTCGGCCGAGTCTGCCCTCAGGAATTCTCAAACATGAGATCTACGCCCAAGGTGGCGCTCTCTCATCAAGCCTCCTACTATTTCCGGCGATCCTTGCGACACTGACTCATGTCCTGTGTCGGAAGTCTAAGTAAGGAATTCTCCACCCCGTCGATCACTTCTTACAGAAAAGAAAATAGTACCCGAAAAACATAAAGCTATGATAACTAATTTCCTACGTATTGAATGTAGTTAGCTTTCACCATGCCACCACAGTACTCTTTTACAAGAGTTCCAGATTCGATGCCAAGCAATTATATAAACTCTACCACTACCCTGGTAAGTCGCTTCGCGTAATATAAGATAGGATAGTGTGGGGGCTGAGCGAGTAGCTTTTGAAATTATAGTACCCTGGTTTGCTTCTTGAACTTACACTACGCATGGAAATAGATCGCGATCCAATAAGATCCTAACAATGGCATGAACATCGAAGAGGTTGCGCTATACTTATGTTTAAATATCCTGGTAAATAGTATCTAAATAATGGTGGCTTCCTTAAAATAAAATTTCACATATCTTGACAACTCATGGTAGTACTATATCTGCTACCTTTGTAGAGTGTTGAGACTGTGTGTAAGATATTAAATTATCAGTTCTGTTTACCAGCTCTTATATTCTATTATATTCTATTTTTCTTCGCCGCCACTCGTATCACAATGGTGCTTCTTACAAGTGACAACCAAGGGCCGATCCTTACAATTATAGCATCTATTTTGTTGATATTTGAGACCATAGCAGTCTTGTCACGTGTAGGGGTGAAGTACTGGGTAATACACCGCGTGGCTATGGATGATTGGATGATTATTGCTGCCCTGGTAAGTGTACACTTATAGAAGCTTTCCCGGTGGACCTAATACAGATATATTTGGATTTTTCCAGATATTTAGTATCGCACACACAACGAGTATAGCAATTGCAGCAGACAATGGCTATGGAAATCAAAACTTGCTTGCGTCTCGGCTCCCGTTGATTAAAAAGGTATGGGGTCCATCCCTTGCTGAAACTATAATGCTGGTTGGGCATCGGAACGGATATATTGACTGGCAGTCAAACAGGCTGTCTATATTGCGAATCTAACCATGATTGGTACATTATACTTCTCAAAAATGAGCACTGCTATCTTTATACTACTTCTACGCGGTTTCAACTTCAGAAGTGGATTTCCTTTCCTCGCATTTCTTACAATCTGGGCTTTCTCATCCCTTCTTGTTTCAGCATTCCAATGTGGCATTCCGCATCCTTGGGACCTTGCTTCTAACAAATGTATTAATATGGTATGTACGGGGAAGAGTGGCATGGTCCTGACCCAGGCGATCGAAAAATTCGAGCGGAGCTGACTCTTCTATCCAGCGGGCATGGCAAAACTATTTTACCTCGGTGAACATAGTTACAGAAGTGGCTCTCATCCTTTGGCCTATGTTCCTGGTGTGTCGAATTCAAATGCGGCTAAAAAAAAAGGCTATTGTGATTGGGTGCTTTACACTAAGGGTTACGTATGTCTACTCTCGGCTCTCTATATCCTTATTGGTACAAAGCTGCCATGCTCACTGGTTATTTAGGATAATACTCTCAGCGATCTTAGAAGCAATCTTTCGTGATAAGACAGTTAAGGACGTCCATGGCATCATTCTTGATCCGTTTCCGGTCGGTGTCTGCACTGAGGTGCTACTGTTCACTACTATTATTGCGCCCTGTGTACCACATCTTAAGTCGGTGATGGAGAGCCTACAATCTGGAGGGTTCAGGCTGTATCAGTGTCCCCGGAAACAAAGTGGGCAATCCGATGAAATTGTACTAATTAATGCGTGACTAACATAACTATGTTTCACCACTGTTGCTGTGTGTTCTATGAGCCATGTATTCTAAGTATTTACGAATTCCATAACTCTATTTAATCAAATCTGTAGTAAGGCTAAGGAGTAAAATATCGCCTCTCATTCCAATTGTTCTTGACTTATATAATTATATATATTAGACGGTTTCTCGAAATGTACTAGCCAGCCAGGTTCCCAAAGCCATTCCTGTGCACCAGAGTTGGAAGGAATATAATGGGATCTAGGTAAAATATCCAGAAATACAATATGAAGGGAAAGAAGTATAGCTGCTAGTCGAATTTTAAAAATGACCTAAACTATAGTTCTAGTTGCCATATTGTATAACAAGGTATGGTAGCTTTAAGAGATCAACGATCAGTTTGTCTATCTCAATAGAATCTACCCCTGACTTCAATATTCTATCTCTACATATAACTACCTAGTCGATGGGCTTTCGACGCTGAACAGTAGATATCTCTCTCATGATCTCCTTCAATGAATTTCGTCATCTGGATACAAAAATATAACAGGACCTAACGCGGGCGGTGATACTCGTGCCACAGTGGTTCTAGCAGTTCCACATGTACCCTACCACAGTAAATACATTTTGGTGGGCTACGGTTCATGAATAAATGATTAGACTTTTTGATATGGAGGAAGTCTAAACAGTAATCCTGTGACGGGACCGCTTATTGGCTGGAAGATGATACGTGCGGGGTTAATTAGAGTTGCGGTTATCTGAGGGAAAGTGGGGTGTTATCCCTCTTTAGAATAGCGCCTAAACCAAGGTCACTTCCTGTTTGTTAAGGACCAAGGGTCGATAGTAGATCCATCGGTGGATCATGGATAGATTAGTAGCGGTATAATATTCTATAATAGGAATAGCGTATCACCAGTACTATGTACATACTAGTGTCACACTAGGTCTTCAACTGCTTTGAATAACTGAGGTCAATAGTTAATCTATATCATCAACAGCGCTGCATCTGTACCGCTCCTGGCTATATAGATTGACGTATGCAGTAGGTATTATACTTGTATATTTTAGTGAATATCAATCTGATTAGGGATATAGTAATCTTTCTACAATAAAAGGTTTAACGCTAACCATCTATACAACCATAGCTTTGAAAATTATTTTAATATACATCCAACTATTAAGACCGTAGCATTGAGGCAGCGGAAAATGTGAGAACATATTTTGACGAGCCCAGTTATGGATCAGAGACTCTTACCACGGAAATCTCGGCGGTATGCCATTAATCTGTTGGAGCGTTGGATGATCTCCTCTCTCCCCATCTGCCAACCAAGCTCTTCCGCCTTTTCCCAGTGTATACCTACCATCGATGCTACCGGGGACCATATCTGAACTCGGAAACTGCCAATATATATCAGTAATCTATCACTGTCTGCCAGACCATGATCCTTAGACCTACTTCTGGTACCAATAAGCCACTCCATTAGAGATTTCTTCGTTCTCGTTTTGGGGAGATTCGAAGAGCGGTAACGGTGTCACTCGTACTATAGCATTTCGCCGTGATGGAGTGAGCTGTGCAGCCGAGTCCTCTGGTGGTCGGGGCTTATGAGAAGCAACTTGGTCATGCAAAAGCTGAGCTCGTTCAATCATATTGGTGTCAGATGGGGTTTCACTGAACGTCAGCCTTTGTAGAGGTAATTCGTAACTGTTGCCTGTCGTTGTGCTTCTTTGCTTAGGGCTGTTACCCTCTTGTGTTATTTGAGGTGATGATGGTTCACTTAAGGTCATCGAAGAGATGGATCCAATGTCTTCTGTCTCCACTGGGACTGTCTTAGGTGTCGACGGTTGTGGAGGAAGCGACGTTCCCTCCATAACACCTGATACAGCTTGTGTCGTTGAATCGTTAAGTGAAAAATAAACTATTCTATGGGCGCTGGTAAAGATAGTAATTATTAATAGAGAGATATTGGATAGGACTTTATAGATCTCTACAGCAATCAAGGCCTAAGTTAATCAGACGAAAACTGTACCAGATTATTTAAGTTGTGTTAAACTTAAATCTGCTTAGTGTATCACCGGTGATATTTTTCGATTGTTAATTTGTCATAACCTCTGAGGTAAGGTTTAAGGTTAACTAAACAGAATCTAGACAGACTTATAATCAAAGGTAATGTAGAGATACACTTCTACAATAGCACCAATACTGAACTCTGTGTAGCATCACCGTACTAGTGTAAAGTGGGATTAGAGAACCAGTAAAGAATATTCTATCAAAAAGTGTTAGCCGCTTCTAGAGTCTCCATCTTTCGAGAGTTTGCTATAATACCAACTGTTTATAACCATAGGTCTTTAGGCTGTAGCCCCCAGCGGGAATTTATCTTAAGAGCTTTCGGCCGTGTAATAGCAATACAGAATTCGTCGAATATAACGACTGGTCAGTGTCTATTAATGGGTGTGTATTATTATCCGGAGATACAGTAAAGTACAGTAGTAACCAACATTAACAGCACAGTATAGCCTGACAAGGATTCTTCTGGCATAGATAATATGTACAGTAGTACCTGGTAAATTTTGTGATTAATAATATAGATTTATTAGAGGGTGATGGATCTGATGAGAGATCACAGTCGATCCAAACCACATATGAGGGAAAGCTTAATTTAGTGGGCCGACGAACTCTACCGATATATGACGAATAGGGAGTATCACTTAAGTAGGAGATTACCGAAGACTATTACTGTATTACTCTTAAAAGACTGGATATCCCTGCGGTAAAAAGTTCTGCCGCTAGTCAACCAGATGGGAGTAACGTATCCACAAATGGCGATTGTCTTGTTCTAGAGTATTCTTTAACAGTTGTTGTAAAGTTTAAATAGCCAAAGTTGTTCAAAACGGTTAGAAATTCAACTCTAGTCTCCACTATACATACAATGTGCCATTTATTGCGGTGTCCCAAATGAAAAAGAAGGAAAGAAAATAACAAGAGCAATTGTTTATCAAAAATCTAGCCCATGCTATTATTATAGGAGATAGCTAGAGATAATAATATACTGGAAGTATATATTATTAATCATTCTTCACGAGAAGCTAATACTCCGGGCAACTTCTTATGCTGAAGGCCTAATAAAAGTTTTCCACAAAATGAGACCCTGAAGCAATCAGTAGAGACATTAGAAGGAAGGTGTACTTGATCTACATGTCTTAGCACATCGCCTATCTGGCTCCCCAGGCTTGTAACGTACATTGTGTTTCCCGACCCATGGTTTTCACACACGGATTCATAGAGCCATGGCTTCATCCTACTGCTGGATGTATAAAAGCAAGTCTCGTTCTAAAAAGGGACTAGCTCACTAATGGGGAAAGGATCAGGAGCCGACTTGTAACTAAGTATATCCACTACCGTCTGATAGGAGAACAACTAGGGCATGTGCAGACACGTGAGTGTCTGACCATGTCTGATCGTCAGTAAACCCCTGAGAGGCACACCAAATTGAACCATGGAACTTATACCACTCAACACTAGAGGCAAGTGAGGCCCTAGGCACCAAGCACAGGCGTATAGATTATAGTGAATGAGGCTGTATATATATCCAAGTCAGTGCGCCTCCCGTATTACAGCGCTGGCGCATCTTTACCTGCCTCCTACATATGACGCTCAGAAATCCACTGGATATAAATGGATAAAGATGGCAGTCTATAGTTTCCAAACTACTAATGTGAGAGGGAGCTTCTCACCGGACCCTCCATCTCTCGGGAAATTGAGCTTCCAATGCCGTCTTTGGACTGCGGAACATATCAACTGCATCTCGGAGATGGAGTCCATATTCGAACAGAACAGGTATTGGCAAATTGCGGTAAGTTGGTTGGCACTCGAATATCTAAGGCAGTTGCTGATTAATCTTGCAGAAACCATTGGTAGCCGAATTGTGCTCCCAGTGGACAAGAGACTGTGAGAATACTAGCTGCACTGTGGAGGTATTGGTATGCCTATTCTATCATTCCTACATTATTTAGATCCAAGCCATCAAAGACACAGTCTGCAGACTGGAAGATTGACACCTAGCTTATTGTTTGCTGACCAAAGCTGTAGGTAAACTATCTCCGCGATATGTATAGGGCATTCCAGCCTGAATTTGCTCTCTTCCCTGAGCCTATCAACCCCCTTGAATGGGTTCAGGCCATCGACAACCATATCAAGGTATCTTTCCCTGGGGAAGTGCTGCTCCGTGGAGTCAAGCGACTGAGGGACCATTTCGATGAGGGAGCTGAACTGAGATCCACGAGACAAAGGTGTCTTCAAGAAAGTAGTCAAAGTCAATTTAGGTCGCTACTGGATATGCGAAACGAAGTCTCTTCGAATACCGTGAATAATCACTCTGGCAGAGTAGAGCAATCACGCCAGATAAGCGCCACTGAGGCCGGCGAGAACAGAGCCGCCCAAGAAGACAGCATGGATGTATCCACAGGCAATACTACACCAAGTGAGCCGCCCCAACAGAGTGGAGAAGAAGGCAGTGTGCATATATTCACAGGCAATACTACACAAAACGAGCTATCCCCAGAAATCGAAGGCAATAGAGCAACCGGAGATGATAGTATACATACATCCACAGACAACACTGCACTAGGCGAGCCGTCCCCAGGAATCGGTCAGACCGAGGAGGATAGAGCAACCGAAGAAGACAGCGTGTATTCATCCACAGGCAACACTACACTAGGCGAGCCGTCCCCAGGAATCGGTCAGACCGAGGAGGATAGAGCAACCGAAGAAGACAGCGTGTATTCATCCACAGATAATAATACACCAGGCGAGCTGTCCTCAGAAATCGATCTGATGGACGGGCTTACTACTGCTGCTGGGGCAGACTTTGACCGCCTCTTTCAAGAGTTGAACGCCGGCACCAGTGATCAGGGACCAGGCTTCAGGCCACAGCCAAATCTGCGCGACATGATGTCAACTATGACTAATAGCGAAGCCTCAACCAGGTCAAGTGTATCTAATGCTGGTAGCGCCGCCAGCTCGAGGGACCTCCTAGATATGCTGCAGGATCAATCTAACCCTGGATTTCCCCAATGGCCAGCCGCCCCAATGAGATCGGACCTTGAGCTGAATAGAAATCAGACACTCGCAACTCAGTCTTCCTTGGACATGGCCGATTGTGATATGATAGCAAACAGTTGGCCCATGAGGAGTCTTGATCAGGCCATTGCTGACTTTCTGGTGACTGAGTCTATACCGAGACCAGAAAACCCGACCAGCAATATCAATATGACTTCGGAAGAAACCAACAATATAAACGGGAGTACAAGCCTACAAGACACCCTTGTACAGCAATGGCCAGATAAAAATTATATTCTGTTTTATGGTACCTTATTAACACGTACAAACGTGGAGCAGGTCCTATATGAGTTGCAGAAGTCTCCATCACTTTCAGTCTTTACAGTGGATGTACTTGGTGACCGTCTTTCCTACCATCATAGCCCACCGGAGCTACATATTGCCGATGCTACTTGGTTTGACTGTCTGCACCGTGGTATACTTCGGTTAAACCCAATACCGCAGACTCTACTGTTGCCTACACGAACATATAATTACTGGTCATTGATTGAAATCCATATCTACTCGGGGACAGTAATTCACTATCTCTTCCCTGAAAACAGGTCAGAAGTACAAGATAGTAGCCACTTTCCTCATCGGCCTGCCTGTCGTTTCTGCCAAGCGGCTATCAAAGCATTGTCCCATTACCTTGAAGATATTGGCCAGCCATGTCCAGAATGGCAGGTAGACAGCATGCTACTTAGCTCTATACCAGGGGACAATGGTATAGGTCTTATCTGGACAATGACTCAACGTGCCAACGGCCAAGATGTCCAAAACGGACCACCTGAGACTTTTCGGGCACATCTCGCCCATGATATTGTGATGGAGGCGCTCCAGACAGCGACTGACGCACCTTCGCCGCCGCCCCCCCAGCCGCCCCCGGGGTTGTCGCCAAAGTCGTCATTATCGTTGTCATTATCGTCCCCAGTACTAGCCAGCGAACAGCAGACCAACTCATTGGAGAGGGCACATTGCCGGTGGTCTAATGTCATGATTCGCAGTGGTGACCCTATCAATTTAACTGGTTTATGGAACCGAGTATCCCAGATGTCCCTGGATTCTAATACATCTATCGGCCCAAGGCAGGCTGATCGGCTATTACAGCTAGCACTCACCATTGCCTCTCCGCCTATTTTAGTGGAAGTGAAGCGCCAGCTAGAACATCTACGCCGGGAACAAAGTAATGCCACTCGGCGCTTTCAGCGCAGTGCTGCTGGAGTTTTCGCAGCTGGTATCTGGCATAAAAACAATGAGCAAACCTCCCGTATTGGACTTGTATTGACTTATTGGTATGTTCACAACTACCGCCAGGAGCAGGTGAACTCCAGTGATCCAATTGCCCAACTGGCCACCGATATATATAATCAACTTCCAGATACCGCCCGCGACTACAGCGAGGTCGAGGAGAAAGTAAGAGACTGGTGCAAACGCGCATGGCCTTGGAATCAACTAGTACGCATTGCTGGCTCACCAAATGTGCTCTGCTTTCTACCTCAAGGCATAACCTACTTTCCCGGTGAAGATGCACCGTCCATGACCGAATACCGGTGCATCAAAAAGCACTGCTTCAAAGCTATAGAGATGGTACTTCGAGAGTGTCGGCCGCAGTTACTAAAGTTCATCCCTCAGAACTTCTTTGAAATCTTTCTCTATAATCAGCTTCCAGAGACTCAATACGCAATTGAACAGTGGACAGAGGAGGAAATTCTAGCAGAACCGCTAGACTCGGACAAATTTGATCACGCCTTCGATCTAGTTTTGGATACAAACATAGACAGCAATTAAAAGGGACTGCTATATAGTCAACCCGTGTGGTAAATATTATTTATAAATTTATTTCTTACCATTGATTCCCAATGTAAATAAAGCGGTAGCTGCGTTGCCTACAATTAGTACTACAATTAATGTCAAGTTGCCTGGTATAAATATAGATCGTCTCTACTATTAATCATAAAGTAGTTAATAAATTCCTCTGATCTCCCAAGCCACTACAATATAGTTTTAAGACAACGAAAACTTATTGGATTATATAGCGTCCTGCTCTCTATGCCCGCCAACCAAATAGCTCGATATCGTATTTAACATTGTGTATCTAAGACGGAAAACAAACAGAAACCAAATAGATTCCTATGCTCGGCTGCCTTTTTGTAGTGTCTATTATATATACTTCCAACTCACTATATCAGCCAAATCAACCGTTCTTTCTTATTCTTGAGTCATCGCCCCTCACTAGATAACAGTAGTTTATATATATATCAATTTCGAGGGCTTTCCGAAGTAAGATGACCTGGGTTTCACAGGGGCACCCGGCATTCCCGCCTTATTCAATATTTATTAGCGTTGATACCTTGTCAAACAGAGGATTAAAGTAATTGCCTACTGTAATACAAGTATACCCAAATTAAAATATGTATTTAGGGTATCGATATTCTTTTAAGAAAGGTACAACAGATAAATATAGTAAATACTCTAACTGCGCTTGTTCACGTATTTATAAGAGCAAACACTACTAATATACTGTTATATGCTCAATTCCCTCCCCACAAATCCGAAAACCTTGTTGTAGTCTTTTAGTTCTGTATATAATAGGTTATGCTCTAGTGCAGCCTATTAATTATATCCTCGCACGACCTTACAACCTATGATCTCCTTGAAACCTGCGTGATGGGAATAGACAGGATAGGTTGTCGATAACAAGGTGCAAAAGAAAAGAAGGCAAGTGTTCCTTCACTTGGGCGCTCATTCGAATACATAGTCGTTCCAGTCTCAAGGTTATATGGGTTGGCAGCGTTTATATATGGAAGACCATCTGCTGCTGTCCAATTTCTGGTTGATTTATCCTCCCTTATATCCCACTCCAAGCGAAACTCCATTCCTGCGTAGCCAAGCCCAACAACAAGCATATTCTTCAGGCACCGGCTCGAAACCGATATCAACAAGTCAAATACCTTAACATCGACACTTTCCCCACGTATATTCTCGTATGTAGTGATGGTGCCATCGCACGGGACTAGGTCCTGATCGTCGACATACTGTTTAAGAATATGTCCTTGATCGATGATCTTACCAAGCTTGCAAAAGGCTCTTTGACGTCTTGCAAAGTTTTGCGCCCTGTTACAGACGCGAGCCAACCTTGAGGCTCGCTTAGCAATCGCTTGAGACTTGGGCGGTATTGCTATGACCCATATCTCCAACCGATCACAGTCGCAGCTCTTTTCTGTGTAGTATGCTTCTGGGTCCATGATACGTTGCATCAATAATCTGCAATTAGGACCCAGTAGGAGGATCTGGCACTTGTCACGTATCCAAGGATCAAAGGCCCGCATCGTGGGATCTATATCCCGTAATGGATGAAGGAAACGACGATAACGGTGGTAAAGAGAGGTCGAGGATTGAATTTGAAGCGCTACGAGCAATGAGCTGACATCGGATGCCGATAAAGCCGTCATCAAGAGTAGAGCTATTTCATAATAACCCTCGTGTGTAACAATTGTCGGAAGATACTCAAGTGTCTTATTCATGGCATCTGAGTATTGAGCTGTAATGGATGAGGACATTTTTGCGAGTACTGTAAATTGTGGTGATGATGGTAACGAGGATATAAGTCATATAGTAAATGGTCAACTAATTGGAATAGGATAAACCGCCTATAATCCAGTTGGATAGATGTGATTATTTATATACCAAGACATCAGGTGTAATTATTATATCTGGAAGGCGAACATTCCATGTAAGCGAGTATTCCATTCAGAGAAGCACCTGTAGAATATTGTACTACTCTAGCAGGAAGTGGAATACATAGTTTACTTAATCTGGGAAAAGATTAGTACCTCCCTTTATACTAATAATTTTATTTCTTATAATGTCTATTGCTGGTTTGCATTCTACAAGATTTATCGCCTTTATACTACTTAATTCTTTGTATAGAGCATTATATAGTATTGCGGGGTGCTAAAAACCGCTCTTATTGCACTGTTAAGTTGCCCTGCTCACACCACTGTGAGAGACTGTGGAAAAGTATAAAAAAATCCGGAAAAGTACCACATCAGATACAATCAATATATACTAGAGTAGGACGCCAAGTAAGAGAAAGGGTTAAATTACTCCTTTTCCAAACCTAGTACAGATGATGAGAACTTTTATTATAGTTCACGAGGTTTTAGGACATTCACGCAACCCAGAGCTCACCACTCTGTTCTCTGCTCACAATTACGCCTCAAAGATAAATATACGGGCCCCCTAATCGAGTCCACTTAACCTTACTGACATCCACTAACCTGACATTGTGCGTCGCGATTTCTACTAGATAACATGCGACATAAAATCTGTTTGCCTAGATCAATAACATTTAGAATAGTGCTTTACAGCTTGACAATACATGCTGAAGCGGACCATCCTATAGCGCTTTGTATCCGGTTTGTGAGCCCTAGCGAGAGCCGTTTGGCATTCCATAAGATCATTGGCCTGTTATATGTACGCGCTGAAAACGGCTCCCATTTTATCGCTTATCTGCCTCCGGACACCGCCTGCCGCCCTAGGTAATACTACTTACTGGCCGAGTAATATCCCTTGCCTGTTGAGGATAGTTGCCGCGCCGTCCTCCACTTAAAGGCCAAAAGAAGTTGATCCGGTCACGAGACTACTACTGGTCGAGCTGCATTTTTTCCAGAACGCAGGTGAGCCCACTGCCTCCCCTGGACCTCGGACCACCGGCGCCGGTGTTCCGAGGTCCGGGGAGCAGTGCGCTGACCTGCGTTCTGGGCTGCTGTGTGTGGAGTTTAGTACAATTTTTTACTTATATTCTTAGTATATAGTTATTTACTTGTTATATATTTATAAATATAATCTTGCACAGCCGCAATTGTGGCTTAAAATTTTCTATTACAAAATAGAATACAATACAACGATAGAGTATAACGAGTTAATATACACTATTTGTATTAGTTTTGTTAACTTCCTCCGCCAATGGGTAATATAATAGGTTAATTATTTATACTTAAGTTATTCAGCGCTAATATTCGATTTCCAAGTTTAAATAATAATTTCCATAATAATTACCGATTGATATACCATAGCCCTAGATATTTAACCTTTTTACTATTTAAAATACCAACTTTACTGTATCCTAAGTGCTGCGTAGCCATCTATAGTTATATATATAATAAATAAAATAGTGCGTTAATTGCTTTTTAAATAGTAGTAGCGAATCTCCATCTCTCTCTGTGTTAATATCTATTATTAATAGAAAAAATACGCGTATCTCGAATCTCTAGCAATTTATAATAGAATAAAGAGCAAAACGCGTTTTAAGGAATATTAATAAATAGTATTTACCTATATAAACTCCTTTCCATCAATAAATACCGTGTATCCTGGTAATATTTACTTTGAGAAAGATATATATAATTCTTTTTAAATTGCTTTAATCCTATATTCAATTTACATAGTTAAAGTATAAGTATTATTAATAGTCTAAACTCGCGTCTATACTCAAGATTCTTGGAGTTTATACTTTTCCGCTACTCACGAAAAATCTATTCTAGGACCACGAGTGTTAATTCTTCTTATTTATCCCATCCTTAGATCTATGCTTAGATATATATATATAGCTGTGGCCCTTAACTCAAATCTTCAGTTGCTATGAAACTTGCCAATTATAGCGATTTTGAATATAGTAAGCGAGAACTCTTTATACAATTATAAATAGGTCTACAGGTAGACTTTAGCTCGAGAAGCTTTTATTAGGAGCTGGTATCAATGCTACATATCTCGATATTTATATGGGTACTGCTTAAAAGGTCCTTTTATTATAAAAGTAGCAACTTCTCCGAGATTTATTATTTTACCATCGTAAGTCTGGCAGTGAACGTATTAACAAGTAGCGTTGAAATTTATACCGCGTAGGATTACTATATTTACTTATATCCTAACCATTCCTCGATTTTGTATAAGAAGATATCCCTGTCCTTCCCCCAATACAGTACAGTCACTATAGTTCTTCTTAATGTAGGGCTTTGACTTACGAGGTCTCAAGAGCTAATTTACTTATATTATAAGTAGTTAGTAAAATAAATTTAGGAAAGGCTTTATATATTAGCAATGGGAGAACCGGGTATTAAAACTATCATATAAAGTATCTAACAAGCGACTTCGAGTATTTACTATAGGATAAAGAAGAGCGGGTGGAAAGAAAGTAGAGAAATAGATAGAAACTCCGTCTGCAATGGAAGGATGCCTAATGCAGGATACTCTTACTAATGTAAGCAAAAACGACAAGAAAAAGCTGCTGTCTCATGTTCCTAGTGTATAGAGATGGAACGCGAATGTTTATAGATATTCTGCTGTACATATTCCTTCTTTCTCTTATGGCTTTACATGATCTAAAAGCCGGCCTGTAGGCCTCACCTGCTCGAGACTATTATTTAGTGAGGGTTGACGGTGTGCTAAGATAATAGAGCCATAGCTTGAAGACCTATCAGCTACTACAGCAACCATCGCCTAGGGGATAAATATATATAAAGAGATAAATACAAAACGCTGCTTGTAGGTATATGCAAGTAGTAATTTAAAAGACTAAGTTAATAACTGAAGACAATTCTTGTTAGTAACTCATTTCTTAGGGCGCTAAATATACCAGCTTCGTTGCCAGTGCGCGGGATTTTTATGACTTATGGGTAAGACGAGAAAGTCGCTATGTGTCGTCTTGCCTTATGTTTTTTCAGTTGCTAGCCTAATATGTCTTATATTCGCGGGTATTGGCTGTACCCACACATCGTCTCCTCAAAGTGAACTGTATTTTATGAAGGTCAGTGGATAATAATACTCCGTTGGAAAGCGTGGAACCGAGCAATTGACTGTGCAGGCCAACCTAACGGGGTTTGGATCAACTCTGGAGAAGAAATTAACGGGTCTCATCTCACAACGGTCAGTTTTTGATGATTCCTTAGCCGCGGTAGCAGGGTCTACTTCAGATGTTTCGTCAACACTGCAGGATTTAAGCAACACTGCCCAGGATGCAGGCAACAACGCAATTGATGGTGTGACGGGGGCGGTGGGGAATGCGGTAGATGAAGCAAAAAATCAGGCTCAGGATGATTCTGATAAACTTGCTAAGATAGAATCTAATATAGAGGAGTTCTACATCATCGGGCTTTGGGGATACTGCCAAGGGAGTTTCAATGGAACTGGTTCGACCGTCAGGAAATGTACACCTCCAAGCTCGTCCTTCTGGTTCAACTTTACCGAAGTACTCGGGCTAGAGAGCTCATGGGCAGAGAAGATATTTCCTAACCAGGTCGAAAAGGTAGTGGGTGTGTATAAGGTGGTATCGAAGGGAATAAGCGCCACCTATATAACCGCGCTTACCACAACTGTACTCACCCTAATCACGGGATTAACGGTCATGGTCTCCGGCTGGGGAAGCTGCTTGATCAGTATATGCGTAATGGTATGTGGTTTCAAGCTTAAGAACGTGGTCTTAAGCGCTAACCGTATCTAGATATCGATGGTTTCTAATATAGCAGGGTCAGCAACAGTTACGGGGGTGTATGTCTCCCTTGTCGGTATCCTTGAATCTGTGTTCTATTCTGCGGGGATTAATGCAAGCTTGGGCCAGAAAATGTTAGCAACTAGCTGGCTGGCTTCTTCATTCTCCGTGGTGGCTTGTATTTTCTGGTTGATGAGTATCTGTTGTTGTTAGGAAATATGGTGGATGGTCTAAGAATGGGTAATCGATTGGCCTGGAACAATATAAAAATAAAATGTGATTACGCTAGCCTCTAACCCCAAGATGTGAGTGTATGTTGTAGCTTATGTACATATCATCATACGTGGTCCATCTATAGAGCCGTGCACACATCCAGTTCATTCCAAAGCCACGTTGTTATTTTCAACCTGGTTCTATCTGTTGTGAATTGAGGCACGATCATATAAACTATAGAGCTTCAGGTACAGACTTAATTCCGTATAAGGATCAGATTGATTGGAAATCAGTCCGACGTTTAACTTGTATATAAACCCTCAGGTTTGCAGAAGTAATGAACAATAACCGATCTTCTTCTGAAATAAAACACCATCAACTATGGCCCAGGAAGCTATACGCACTGTGACAATTTGACTACTCCTTTCGCGAGGTTTACGTACACAATTGAAAATTGGATCACTCTCTTCCTCTTCAGTTGGACCCTTTCTGTTAATCTGTCACGGGTTGAGCCACCTACGGTATGTGGGGCAATTTGTGCGTCGACCAAATACCTCGGAACTTGAATGAGAGGTTCGCCCGGGCGAATTTGCCTGAGGCTGCCTGTAGTGTTGTCATTTTCAATTTAGCTATGCCTAAATCGGTTATTAGCTGATGAACTTCCGTTAATATATGTGGCTTTGGATTTCCGTATTTTAGTGTTCGCGGACAAATATGAGGCCGAGGCCGAGGCCGTTGCGAAGCTCCGAGAGGCGCGTCATATAATGAGACTTGATACTTCCAGGTATGTATCTTATTTACATGCCTTTTCTCCTATACCAGAGACCCTTTGGGCCTCGCTCCTCGCTCTTGTCAATGAATTTACTACAGACATAGGAACACTTCAGAAACACTCATTTTTCGCCCTCCAGATTCAGGATGGCTCAGTTGTCTAAGAGGGAAATCATTGAATCTAGGCCTATTGGCGACGGATTGAATGCATTCCGCGACGAGTTCGTATCGACTTGCAGAAGTTCGGGTCTTCCTTGCTCCGTCCAATCTGTACACGAGCTTGATCATGATGGTACTTATTCTTTAAGGACAAATGACTGTATCTAACCGTGAATTAGCCCTTCAGAACCTGTGCATCTGCCTAATACTGGCATTGCAGGCCCTTCCCGCTTCCCGCGCCTTGCCCCCTGTAGTTGGCGCCCACAAAAACCTTTTTAATGATTTATCCAGGTTAAGCTCGAGTGTCAACTCCGACGAATTCAACCTGGAGCGACTTCTGCCCTTATTAATCGCGGCATTCGAAAGAGAATCTGATGAGGTCATTTGGGATAACATCTACGCAGCCGCGGCAGAAACCACGCCCCCCCCAAGGCCACCACCGTACGTCGAGCAAACGCCGTATTCCTGTTCTACAAGCATGATCTCGAATTCGCATGAACGTCGGGATGACATAGACCCTGTGCTGAAGGAGGAATTAGGCTCAATATACACGGATGTGCCTGGATTTGAGGAGGCCTTCTTCGGAGGAGTGGAAGATTTGGAGAAAGCTGGCACTGCTGTCTTCCATAGATCCATTGAGGGGGATGATCCTCTATACAGGGAAACAGCTGGCTGGCGTGACTGGCCTCAATCTGCACAGGAAAAGCAGGTCCTGGATTGGCTAGTCACAAAGGTTGAAAGGTTTTACGAAATTGCAACAGAAAATGTTTTTGCCCCGAAAAATCATCGCAAGGTTTTAGGTTGGCCACATCAGCCACTCCAAGGGTCTACCGCTGCTCGGAAGCTGGATATTGGGTTTATTCCTTCTCTAGAGTCAGCCGATAAAAGCACCCTTTGGTCGCATATCCTAGTTATTGGCGAACTGAAGCGCAATCCCAAGATGGACACAGCATCTAGCGCATGGCGAGATCTGGGACGTTATGCAAGGGAAGTCTTTGCTGCCCAAGACACCCGTCGTTATGTGTTGGGTTTTACTCTTTGTGGACCTATTTTGCGACTATGGGAGTTTGATCGTATTGGAGCCATCGCGTCAACGCCTTTCGATGTCAACAAAGACCCTGTCCGATTCATTATATCGATGCTGGGGTTCCTTCAGATGGATAGTGACCAATTGGGGTACGACCCTACTATTCTCACTTCTTCTGAGGGGTATCGATACGTTCAGATTGTACGTGATGGACAGCCGGAGCGTCTTATTCTTGAGGAACGTATGAGGCGTGCCTCGTGTGTTGTTGGTCGGGCTACAATATGTTGGAAAGCTTACCGTGAAGGAGATAAGTCAAAGACACCCCTTGTCATCAAGGATTCGTGGCAATACCCAGAAAGAGAGGAAGAAGGCGCGCTTTTGCGGGATGTGACGCAGAAAGGAGTGGTTAATGTGGCCAGGTATTACTACCACGGGACTGTACAAGTGGACGGTAAGAATGACGATATTCAGGCTGCCGTACGCAGAGGACTTGATATGGCACGCGCAAAGAAGTATCGTTTCCCGCGCTCTGATGTCTCCTATATCGGATTCGCTTCAACAGATGGATCAAAAGCGAGCCACTCTGCCGGAGGTGCTGGGCATAAGCGGTCATCCAGCCATCTCGAAGCTACTCTGCCATCTACCAAGCGCTCTTGCTCTAGCTCCCCGATTAGAGATAACCATAGCCAGGAGAATAGAGTACATAGACGCGTTATTGTTCGCGACTACGGAGTGCCTATTTACAAAGCTGAATCTCGCGTCGTCATTCTTTCTGCACTCGAGAGATGTATAGAAGGTACGTGATCCGTTAGTTATTTTTCTCAATCCTGACGTATGAAGGGTATGAGTCGTTGCACTTGCACGCCGGGCTTTTCCAGGGCGACATCTCGACTGGAAACCTCATTATCAATAACGAGGAAGGTAATCCGTCTTGGCCAGCATTTTTAATTGACCTGGACTTGGCTATCTGGGAGCGACGTGAACAACCTTCCGGAGCGAGAGGCAAAACAGGGACAAGAGCCTTTATGGCAATAGGGCTCCTCCTAGGGGAAAAGCACTCATTCATGCATGACTTGGAGTCATTCTTCTGGGTTATTTTCTGGATCTGTATTCACTACCCTGCCTTCACCAAGAAAAAGGTTGTGCGGAGGTTCGAAAAATGGAATTACGTGGATATGGAAGAACTGGCTGAACTGAAAAAAGGAACTGTAGCCCATGAAGGCGATTTCCTTCACATGGTGGAAGACCTCTTCACTGATTTTTATAAGCCCTTAGGCCCTTGGGTCAACCGCTTGCGGAAGGTGGTATTTCCAAACGGTGGGAGATGGGAGAAGGAGACCAAAGATCTATATGTTCAGATGAGAGAAGTTCTAAAAGACGCCTGTAAAGATCCCAAAGTGCTGGCTGAATAGAATCAGATGTGAACATTTTAATGGCAGGTCTATATTAACTCTGTAGTTTGGAACCAAAAGAAAGCCATCTGTTAGCATGCCTGCGGCTGTTCCCATGCGGAGGAGAGCGAAATACTAGGCCACATTCCTGAATTGCAGGGAAAAGCCATTTAAAGATGCCGATTTAGTCGCCATACGCTACTGTGTGCTATTGCTACTTATGATGACAGAAAGGGAGACACGGCGAAAACATCACTTGTTGGCTCTTATCGACGTCCCCACAGAGCTGCCACGAGCTGCCTTTTTGAGATGGCAGACGATAATAAGAACGACGAACGAATTGAATCTGATTCTCCCACATTATAAAATGCCCGCAGCCAGTCATTTCCTGGGGGCCTCGGTTATCCTCCTGACAAAGAGCTCCTCGCATAGTTTTTCATGGCCGAACTATATCAAATCACCCCTGGTTTACCATTGCTTAGATGGCCCGCGTTCTGTATAAAACTGAACTTGTCGTTGAACGATGGTCACGGGACGTCGGGACTACATAATCCCGTGCCGGGGCCGAGGGGTTATCGGGCGCCAAAACTGTATTCGCGATAGTATCTTTGTTTCTTGTTACCCCGCCAAGCAAACATCCACTATGAATACACCGTGTCATAACACAGTGGAATAGAATCTCGATGGTAAGATCTATCTATTGCTATGATATATATGTAGACCGTGGTCTGACTGTATACTTAAGAGTTCAGAGTTATGCTCTAAGTAGCTGTACCAAGTGCCGCACAATGTCAGCAAGCCTCCTCACCTTTCAAACGGTTTTGCCTATAGAGAGGTCAGCTTTATCCGAAAAGTTGAAAGCCCGTGAAGAAGTTATAGAGCTTGTGGAGAAGACCTTAACTGATACGCCGGCAACGAGTTATAATCCCCCTTTCACTAAAGGAAGTGCTTGCGTCAAACTTGTCCATGATGTTATTCTCGATTACAAAAAGGTTTGGTTGAATAAACAATGTCGTTATAGACCAGCCATTGACAATTTCGCGCAGCATGCAACGAAGTTCCCTGGCCGACCTCAACAAATATCCAAAGGCAGGCGTGGTGGACTCGTGTTCTACCCGGGGATAACGCCCATTGGAACTGACTTTATGATAATTGATCCTCTTATCACAGAGGGAAAGTCTTTTATAGGTGATGTGGAGGTAGACATAAACTACTACTACATCGTTTTGAAGGAGTGTGATGTTGTTGTTCAACCTGGAGGTAAACTGGTAACACTCGCTATATCGGATATTAAGTGATGAACTACCAGTAAAAATACTGTCAAAGTACTGGCACACCATTCGGTTTGAATGTTACTTTCTTCTTTGTTTTCGATTTTTGGTATTGTTAAGACACACCGCTATGTAACGATTGTATATTAATTATAGGTCTGGTTATCGTGGTACCTGATATCGGGCATCGGATGAAATAGATCGAAACTTTGCATTAGTGAGGCAGCAGTCAAAGGATCAAACGACGTCACGTCGAAGTTCTCCATTAACTCTGCTGCATTGGCGAATGATGTTATGTTGAAGTTTTGCATTAAATGTGCCGCGTTAACGGAGTCAATGTTAAAGGGTGATGTCGTATGTTGTACTGTGCCAGATACTCTCTGGGCCGCTGAGTGTGGTTGCCTCATAGTTCCTGGAGACATGAAGAGCGTCGGTTGTGCCTCTTGCTCTGTTGGGCTGATAAGGGAAGACACTGGCGTATCGCCAGTAACTATATTTGCAGAGCCAGGCACTTGTTCAATTCCATATGGCTCGGATAAGGTAGTTTGACTGCTGGTGTTTTTATATGTGTGTGTTTGGATGGTGCCTTGAAATTTTTAGCAACGTTCAAACCTTGAGCTTTTCTCTGACATACCAGCTATATTGGAGACTTCAGAGGAACCTGGTGTTCCACAGGCATTCCTATGTTGTATCTGCTCAATTTGTGGTTCAGTTCTTGTCGAGCCCCCTGGGTCTTTGCGAGCAGCATGTTTCGTTGAAGTCTGGGATCTTGCGCGTTTCCGTTTCGAGGAGCAAGGATTGATGGAAAGAGTCCCGCAGATATTCACGATCGTTAGAGCCTGCTCTTTAAAACGGCTAGTTACACTTTCCACGATACGTTTCCCTGCTAACGTTGCGTTGTCACCGATGCTTAAGCCTACATTCAGAAAGTGGGAGATGACGATATCAACATCGCTTTTCGACTTAAAGAATTTCTCATATCTAACCTGTCAGTATACTGATCGTCGATAATACATTGAAACTTACAAAGTGGAAGGTACGACAAACATATAAAATATGATGCCATATCCATGTGCACTGGTGTATCGGCTGTATATATTTCCTTTGGCGTAATCAAGTTCCAAGTCATGTATGATATCTTGTATCCTTTGGTTCTTCACACCAGAGTAATCATCCCTGGCGATCATATTTGCACAGTACGTTGCAACTTGCCTGGTGAAGGTTTGGGTCCCAAAAAGTTTCATTAACATTTGTATCATTTCAAACACGGCTATCGAATGAAATGCCGAACTGATACTGGTTGCAGTGTCGCTCTTTTTTCTTCTCAAATATAGGTCACTGAGAGGGTTCTGGAGACCTGAATCGTTGTCAACGCGAACTCCGAAACGCCAAAACAGGGAGGGATCATTTTTGAATAGCTCAACGGCCGCTGCACTAAGTTCAGGTAGATTGATTTCTTTCACACTCTTTATTCTCTCCAATGCGTCGCCCTTTTTGCGTATTGACCCTCCATTGGCAGGAGTCCGTCGACCGAATGCGTTGCATAAGGTAGTTCTGGCACTGGCGGGCAATGAATCCTTATTACACACGAGGAAATCCGCGAGCTAAATCTATAAGTCTCCGCAAAGCCATGCGTTGGAAATCACTTGCCTGTCGAAATAATTCAGCGTCTCCTACTTGTCCATAGCAAATATCTATGACTTTCTGCCGAATCCCCGTTGTGGACATATTACTTGTGTCCATTTTTCGAACAGCCTGGTGAGCAAAGAGTATGGTGAGAACAAAAGTGCGAGGCTGTTTGTCCAGCTCATTTACTCCAACAATCACAGCAACCTCAAAAATAATACCCCGCATGCTATACCGCATCTGTAAAAAAGTTGGCCGTACGGCCAACTTTTTTACAGATGCGGTATAGCGCAAGACTAGTAAGATGTTTGGTCACTATAACGGAAACAAAGAACCCAAACGATGGATGAGAGCGCTCCGAGCCTGATCGGCTCTTTCCTTATTGGTATGATATGTAGGATCTACAGCATATGACCTTGCCCTAGTATCGAGAAATGGAGATCGCCAATTATGTGACTAGTCGAAGGAATACCTTGCATTAAGAAGTAAGTACTATGGATATAACCACGGCTCGATAGCCATGGGCTAACAAGGGGAGACTGACGTATATCACCTACAGGGTTGACAAATCGACTATAGCGAGAGACCTGTAGGCATTATGATACGTGGAAGCTGAGTATAATCACGCCTACACTAATAGATCTTTTGCTATCCAGGCTATGTGTGATGATGTTCTGGTCAATATTCTCCTGCAGCCCGGAATCCTAGTATAAAGCATTCCTCATGCCTTGCAGCTGCGCTTCCCATGACCATTGCCATTACTCTTTACTGATTCGCCCAACTACTTGACCCAGATATGTTTTCTGCTGACATTTCGCCTAAATACTTGGGATTCTACGTCTTTCCCATACGTTTGTATCACCTACCCCAACATACGAAAAGACTGCAGGGACTAAAACTAATACAGCAGGACTTTATACGGATAATTCACTGGATAATGCCACCGAGATCATTTCAGCAAATGAACTAGATTCCATTCTTGTAAGCTCTCGATTTTCCTGTCAGATGCAAAGAGCTTACTTGGAGAAGTCAAATGCAAACAATTTCTCGGTGGCTTCACCGTGTGCGGACAGGGACCTCCAATCACCCATCCACGATCCATGGCAGATAGTCGAGCAAGTAGCTACTTTCGATGATGCGTACTATATGATTCGACGCACTATTCGATGTCCATTAGATGTGTATCCGTCGGGAGAAAATGTACTGTTTGAAGAGAAGTGGGTTTCATTGGGCGTGATGGAAAAGTCTGAACTTGGGATGGGACTCTTGAACGATTGGTACGTTAGATAATTAGTGATTGCTGTAAACGAGAAGCCTGCCGAAGGCGAGTACATGTTCGATTTGTTTATCATAAAATTATTACACGGATTCCTCAGGCATTTTTTGTATTTAGAGTGCATTGGATCTTATCGACTGAATGTAGTCGAGACAGCGACAAAGCCCAGGAACCCATAGAATCCGTGTCTTGGCCCTTTAGCACAGTCAAGGTATAATTTTGGCCTAAAGCCCACCCTTTAGATTAATTGAGGCCGTAAATTATCACGACGCCTCCGAATAAACGGCCGAGGTTCACTCCACGAGCAGTAAACGATGTGTAGCACAGCCATCTAGATTTTCAACTAATACAAACTCTTTCACCGAATGACTTTTGGCGCTAAATCAATCAATTATTGTATTTTGCTTTTTCGCGAGAATACATCGCAAAGAGGGCAGAATCACACCAAGTCTGATTACTTTACCCGTGCCCAAGGTTGCTTGCATAATGTAGTTATTTTACACATGCACCTAGTTTACGGTTATCTCCGGAGATACGTTCACCCAGCGCACCGACACAACTAGAGTAGTTGGAGAAGATATCGAAAATGGATATGTATTCTCTGAATGCAATACCACGCCATATTGTATCAAAACAATGAAGCCGCGGCCAATGATTCCATCAAGCCTTGTACCCTTGATGATCCGAACCCAATATCCCCTGGAGGACGGACCCCAGTAAACGACTTTACACAAGCAAGATACTGAATGGGACTTTTACTTTTCTGATACGGCTGTTATGTCCAGTCATTTACTCTTATTAGAGGTTCAGAGTTTTCTCTACACTTGCTGGTCAAACTTCTACCCACTGCCTGGGGCTATGATATAGATACTGGCCTTACTGTGTAGTCCTTCAGGAACGTAGGGTGACCGTCTTTATGTTTACATCTTGCTTCTACTAAAACCGCCTGCCAAAGTTAGTCGAATCCTCTATGTCTTCAGAGAACGTGTCTAGTATCCAGATCTGGATCGCCTCTACCAATTATTGCAGAGCACATTTGATAATCAAATTTCGTGGATCTAGACAGCTTTACCGTGCGGATCCTACGAGAGAGGCATGTGTTGTTTGGAGCGACGACGGTTTAGAAAAAGGCTTACCGACTCATCTTATCTTCGACGTGGACAATTCGAAGAGCTCCTTTCAAGACCTGAAAGCCAATGCATATCCTTCCAATGAGACTAAGCAAATGGGGAAGGCTGACTTCTGCCTATGTGGTTTTTGGATGTAAGTATAGCGGTACGAGAAATGGAGATTAGGTTTCTGATGATGATATTACTACTGCATAGCGTGGAGGTGATCCATCGGTACAGGACCAAAAAATACATTAATGAAGCGCCAAGAGGAAAGTTCAAGCACGGAAGTCTAGGCGAGGATCTCAACAAGGTCCGGGAGAAATATCGAAAGGGCGTGGCTAAAAATGTACAGTAGTATGTTACGGGTCCAATGCTTACGGTCACCTCGGGATCTCCTTTGGATTTGGTTTGAGCACTTCTGCAATTAGGATTACTATTTAAAAAAAAATCCAGAAGTCAGAAAGTGATGATAGTATCTATTCTTTCCTTTCGAATGACTTCCTCCTTATGCCTCGGCTTCTAATAAATTATCGCGATAATTAAACCTCGCAATGGGACACGAACCTATCACTGTCGATACGCGCCTTCTGTGTTTTCAGAGCACAAGGGGCAACAGATGTATTATCGATGGGACAATCTATGAATCATCGGTCACCATCAATATCTTTGACCCTTCTAATTTAAACTGCCCTGTGCATGTTCTTATATGTGGTCCTGAAGATGTTAAGATGCGAGACCAAACCTTACGCGCATTTTCTGATCGTGTGGTTAGGCAAGAGACTGGAATAAACGATTTAATGTACAATGCTAATATTTTGGTCAACAAATGGTGTGATGAGAGGGACCAAAAAGTACAGCACTGTGTTCATTTCACGTGCAACGCGACTCTCGGACCACCTATTGATGCAGAATGTACAGGAAGCACAATCTCCGTCATGTGTGTACCTGGACGAGCTGAACGCTGCGAATCCCACTGGTTCTTAATCTTCGAGCAACAGAGCACTGAGACCAGCGCCAGCCTAACCGAGACAGGTATTGAGTGGGATAAACACGGTGATAGGGATCCTGAACATACTATTACGTACGCCGTCAAAACAGACCCCGGCCTTCAAAAAATGAAAGACTGTGTGTTGCAATCTCAACAATTTCAACATATTGGAAATAGAACAGAGCACTGGCAGTGCCCTTGTGCATTGTGGATGTAAGTTTTAAAGAGCCAAAGCACACAATCATGTTCTGATGGCGTATAGATCTACTGTTATACGTGAATATACTCAAAAGGGCTATGTCACGGGTATATCATCCAGTGGTATTAGCGCTGAGAACCTGCATCTCAAATTGGTCTACAGCTCGTTGGGAATATGATGGGCATGTCTTTACGGAGGTATTGCCTCGGCAAAGGGTCCGAGAAGAGTAGACTGGCTTGGTCAAGCGCAGTAGTGGCTTTACAGATGGTGGTGAATTCATACCCTCACCCCTTGCTAGGATGCCACTATCTAATCCTTGTGTATGTTTATGTACAGTAAGCCTTATCAGTTATGGCTTTACAGATATTTTCGAGATCAGTTTCTACTCCATGCTCTTGAATATTATTCCCAGCCCCTAGGTGCCGCGTCACGCCAAACTAGAAATGGATTATGTCATAGGAATTGCCCGATCTAGCTAATGGGAACGGTAAAAGTATTCCATAATTCTTTATGGTTTAGTGTAACTTGATATATAAGGTCTGGAAATAATATCCAAGAGCGTAATGCGGAAACTGATTTCGAAATGTTCTGCATATCACGAACTACATTAGCAAATAATAGAGTCTAAATATATGAATAATACCCCCTGCATATTATTTACTTGCACCTGTAAGGCTAAAAGCGCATCTGGATATTTTCCCGATGGTTAGACCACTACATGGTATATGTACTTAGCTGCAACATTCAATTTCCGTGGAGTATCGAAAGACTTCGCCAACATATATAATCTAGCAGTTTCCTTACGCAAGGGTCGGCTCTGAGGACATCTTTTATCTTTAGAGGTCGTTTACATGCGGTGCTACGATTACGGAATCCACAGAGCCTCCACTACGCGCTAAGTCACCTGACAACCGCCCCACTGGAAATATGGCATCACCGAGTTTCCGAGAACTCCTCTGGGGGGGTGAACGCGATATGGAGCAATTAGGGTATATGATAATAAGGGCTCATGTGGAGCCGAAGGAAGAGGCTCGAGCTATAAGGGAAATGGTGAAGTCGTATACGAGAGAAACGCGGCATGACACGCAAAGTGCCTCACCAACCGCTCACTGGTTGGACAAGGAAAAACAGATAATATTCGAAACGTTTATGGGAAAAGGGGTGGATGTACGTATTTCGTACCTTAGAAAATTCTCGATTGGCTGCTAACTTGCGTTACAGCTGGACGCTATCATCGACAATTGTTTCCCGAAACAAGGCCCCAGACCTATACACCAACCACTACGCCCCGTTCTATTTCAGCGTGACGAAGTGGGGACTAGCCTATACAGAGCACATCCAAATTTGGATTCTATCTCCATATTTAGACCAATCGGTTGCGATGTGGGACCTGAAAATGGAATGTTTATGGTCTACCCATGCTCCGACAACTTAGATATGAAAGATGTTCAGGACGAACCAAGGTCTATTCGGATCAACAGTGACGAGCTGTTGGTTATCCGTGGGCCAACCATTGTTAAAACGGTAAATACCGAAGGGGGGCTAGTCATGTGGAAAGGATGTTCAATCCAGCCCATGGGGGTGAATATCGCTGGACAACATGTTTTGCCTTTCATGAGGACCCGCCCACCTAATGTCACGAAAGTTGATAGGCGAATGACACGGTAACTCTCACTAGATCACAGAACGTGACATTGATGGCAATTCTTCGGGATAAGCAGAGGGATTGACATGTTGGTTTCTAGAAATAGCAACCGAACCACTATTCTATGATGGCATTTTTGAATTTTTCGAT